GTATAGAACTCGTCACGTGCAAGACACTGTATAAAGGCATCGTCGTGGGTGGTAACATTTTCATAATATGCAATTCGTATTACCTATATAGTCTATAAATTATATTTCACTATTTCAGCTATGATGTGAATAGATAACTGCGAGTGCCCACCTACCTATACTGGCTATTTACTACAAGTATCTTGTTGTTACTTATTAGTATTAACAGTTCAACACACAGTCATAAGTAGTTACCTACTATATCTATACAATAATTAAAAGCGCCAGACGAGGAGTACCTATATAATAGTGATTACTGATTACTGAATGCCTAAATAGTTATTCTATCAAGCATATATAAATGTCGACAAGTCATAATAATTTAATATATTATTTGATCAAGTATTATACGATTTCGTATAAAATCCAATGCACCTACGTCATGCACATATACAAGCTACTTGGGTATGTAACATCCGCAATTAGGTATTTAGGTATAATGTAATATTCTATAGACTATAGTATTGTATATGCAGCAATTATTTATGTAATACAAGCCATACATACGTATTAATTATTATTCCTATTTACTATTAGCTATTCATCAATTAGTTTTCATATAGAGCCATCTCATATAGTCAGACAAACGAGGTTACTTGAGATTGTTGTAATATGTAGGTGATTAGAAATAATTGTGGTAAAGCAACTATATAGTTATGCTATTTTACCAAGTTCCGAAAAAAAACCCAGGTCTTAATTAGTTATATAAGAATATATTAAATTTAAATATAATATCAGTCGTTCATTCCATTTCATTTTATTTTTGTGACTGACCCAAGTTACTGAAAGTTCTATTTAATAAATATCAGGTAGGTATGTGGTGTCAACTTGGGTAAATCATATCAGAATCAAATTTTTGACTGTTGAGGGCTGTAATTAATAAAAATTTGAAGTTTTCAATGTAACTTTATTATTAAATGTATAAAACTTACTTACTTGGTATTTTACTAATATATTTATATATCACTATAGGCACTCAAACAAATTATTTTATTTTATTGCAACATGTTTTTGAATAAATATTTGAATGTGATTACAACTTACTACTTTGATGGCTGGGTTAGGTACCGATTAATAGTGTGATAGCACACAAAACACGAATAACAAAATCGTTTTGGTCTCCAAGTTTACTAGTTTTTTTTAACTTCAAATGTCTGAAATAAAAATTCAAACATGCAGGATAAAATTTATTTAAAAACAAGAAGATTTAAAATGTGTTGGTATAAATTATAATTTACATTACATTTTTAGTATTTCCTACTCAGAAACTTTATTCAAAATTGGATATTTTATTCGAATGGTGCATGGTAGGCCTCTTTATTTTAGAGCCGGGAAGGTAGGTAGATACAGCAGGTGCGTGCAGTGTGTTATATAATATTCATCGTTTTTTGATTGAATATTTCAGTATTTGAAAGACTACATCGAGTTTGCTACATATTTACTACTGCAATGTTAGTATCACTTTTCAAACAATTGAAATATTCATAAAAAAAAAAACTCGTTGTTAAACCATACTCATTATAAACAATTACAGACTACCTGGCTATAGAGGCTACCTATATACATTAGTACATTCCAGTATTATATATAATACATAATAATATTATAAAGTATTTCCATAGACTATAGAATAACCTTGAATTATATTTTTCTATAATCGCCTAATGTGATGACGTGGTACTGCAATAATGAATAATGTAAATTTTAATAGAATCAGCTAGAAAACCTGATTCAAAATCGCTTTCGTGACAATTCGCTATTCCAACGATTGATCACTACTACCTGTGCGGTTCTGGTGACAAATTTAATCAAAGAAAACAAGGTACCCATAACATTATATCGTATTTCATTCGAAAGTACTGCAAATTATTCGACACAAACGACAACATTTTGTGGCATTCGATAAGTTAAAAATTTGGAGTATCGCGCACTGTAAAATATATCACGAGTACGAGAATTGGCCCCCAGAAGTACTTCCGCGTTACCGTCACGTATTTTAAAACCATAAAACACAATAAGGTCTGTATATGTACCAGCTATTTGTTTCACGACTGACCCTACTTTTAAGATAATAAAATTAGAATCAAATACCAATGATCATTAGAACATTGTTACATTATTATTGTTCATAATTTTATAAATTGAAAAATTTAGTGTTTTTTGTACCGGCCGATTCCTAGTTTCCTATGAGTTATGTAACATGCACATTGTAGATTCCATATAATATACTGTATTTGATATACCCTAAATATTAAATAAAGTTTGAACAGCGTGTCAGCGTATTGTATGATGAAGTAGTTAACTCGTAAAGTTTTTACGTATTTAAGACAATATCATTGAAAATAAATACCTATCTACCTACAAACTTAAATTTTGTAATTTAAACTTAAAAGGTGTTCACAGTTTTTCTATTCTTCACAATATTTTAGATTTTATAAATGAATTGCAATAGCATTATAAAAAGTAATCACATTATATTTATTTATGTTGGTAATTAACTTATAATTGTTTATTTCCAATTCAACGATCTGTTCATCCGTTTTAAAGTGTTTTCAAACCCGACGATTGAAACGATTTCCCGGAAAATTGCATTGTATCTATAGGTACATTATTATTTATTTTTGTTGTGTTTTTGCAAGTGTTATGGGTTGTAACCTAAGTAGTTATAACCTGATAAAATAAATCATAATTTTTATATTACCTTATAGGTACCTACTAACTCATGTTAAATGTTATTTGGGGATTAAACTGTTTAAGTAGGTATAAATATACAAACAATGAATACTTATAATATTTATTTATTTATTTCGAATGGCTTAATAATATTTTATATCTAATGGCTATAATTAATTAGTATAATAACTGGAATAGAATGTTGATGAATGGTGCATTTTTATCTTTTGAATTATATACTGCAATGCTTTCTGAGCTAAAAACTTGTTTCGACCTTCTCTGATTCATAGTATATAGATACAAATTTTTTCAGTTTTAGTTATAATTTATAAATGCTTTTTTTCGTTTTTTTAATGTGATTTTTTTATATTTTTACTTCATTTATTCATATTATAAATACAATTTTTGTAAATTATAGGTCATTTTTCTAATACTTTATAGATTTCAGAAAAACTTTTACAAAAATAATTGTACTGTTACTGTAAAGTTTTTGTTGTGTTAGACTTATTGCGTAAAGGTGCTTACATGCCATACTATATATGTTTTTACAGGTTCACCGATGTTCCTATACGCTCATCGAGTTTAACATATAATATAATATTCGATAAGCGTAAGTCAAATACGTTCAAGTAGGTACATCAAACTGTAGCTATACCCATTTTTTAATTTTGGAAATTATCATAAATGAATCTGCACACATTAAACACGTGTCAATAATCATTCAATACGTATTTTAAGTTACTATAATATCTATGAAAAAGATCGGGTTTTTCAGATCGTAGGTAATTTTTATTTTTTGATCATCTCTGATACTGTCATAGATCATATACATCCTATTTTTAATAATAAAAGTTGTTTTATCAAAATCTGTACTAAAAATGGATAAAGAGATAACCTTTACTTATAAATTATAACAAATAGAAATACGTACCTCCTAATCAATGTAGGTATCTAAATGTTGGCTGTTCTTGTAAATACCTAGTTGTAATTATCATCGCAGCTGAAGGTACATACTACTAGGCTGGCACGGGGATTTATCGATTCAGCAGGATATTAATATTTAATTGTATTTGTTGATTTTTATGGTTATCGATTCTACATTATACAACGAATTGTGAACCATTGGCAGAAATGGGGGAGGACTTGTCAGGCTAAGCCCCCTCAATAGAGTATTCTTTCCTCAAACATAATAAGTAGTAGGTAGTAAGTACTTACCTAAGTGGTCACTTATAATGAATACGGTAGTCGGTAAGTTGAATTAATACTATGCATAGTATTATTATTAAATTATCAGTGATGCCGGAAAAATATAAAATATACTTATGTAAAATTGGGCTTTTTTAGAAACAAATTACAAACAAAATGACTAAACCACTAGAATCTTTAAACAATTATTAAAAAAAAACGTCCATATATGTCCCTATTTTAAATATTTTTCAACTGATATTGTAAAAATATATCATGAGTCTTGTATTCAATTTTCACGCTTTTTGACTTCACTAATAAAATGTTAATGACATTCATAAAAAAAAATTTTTAAAAATTGAAAATGTCCGTCAACAGCTTAAAACAAGTCAAAATATTTTAATATGCTATCAAGTACCTATATGAATTGATGAAATAAATACATCGTGTTAATTTCAAGTGTCTACAGTAAGTTATTCGTATGTGAGTTACAACAAAATGCATACAAAATTCGAACACGAACATTCAGTGAAAATTGTATGTATCTATGGTCATTTTTTAGAGTTGAGCTAAAAACCGAAATCGACTTTTTTGAAAACTGGTTTTACGTAAAAATTCTCATTTTTCCTTTTGAAAACTATTGCAAATTTTTTATTTTGACCTCCACCAACTAGGTTCACTTTCCTATTAGAGAACAGTTTCTGTTGAAAAAAATGGAATCACTTTTACTGCCCCCAAATCGTGATGACAGACACACAAATAATAAAAATACTCTCATCATTGTAAAATCAATACATTCATCTCTGTGCTCAGGCTCTACAACAGACATAATGAATTAAAATAATTTATAATATTATTCTACCACAGAATTCTAGAACATTGAATCGGACAAAGAAACCGATACTCAGAATAGAAACAAAATATTGGCCACTGTTCGAGTCGCGCACTGTATCACAATGATTTTTCCTGATAACAGACGTTTTTACGTAATACGTTGTAACATTATTATTGTTATCGCCGTTATTATCATTTTTTATTTATCATGCGATTGCCAGTCGTGACTACACACCAGGTCTTAATAATACATTATCAGTCTAATATTATTATTATACGTACTTTGAATAGTCGTAATAACAATAATTGTTTTGTTGTTACTACTTACTACCATTTCATGTTATTGCCGATAGTCGTCACTCACCAGTCAGTACGCACGTACTGAAGAGATGTGTCTTTCTCGACGTTATTGTTACTTTTATTCTGTGTTATTACGTATCGACGACGGTCTTTGGATTAAACGATTCGTCAGCGGTTCTTCACCCATACTACGCGATTGAGACAATGTTGTTCGTCGACTGAAATGTCTAAGAACATTTCCGATAAATCCAATTCGTCTGAAAGAGAGCCTTCGTTTCGTTAAAATTTGTGACAAGTTGTGACCTAGTGCCGTGGACCACCGTTTTGCAGTTAGGTAGGTGTCTATGGTCACCGTCGTTCATTATTATAATGATTATGACGTCCATATTTTGATCGTAACACGTAATTTTAATCCCATCTCGTCATTCATATACTTGGTTACCGAGCAATGGAGCAATTTTTTACTTTTAAATACATTACATCAATTGTAAATTATATAATTATTATTAATGATTATAATTTATATATTATAATATGTCAAATTGTCCAATATAATGTAATGTAGTTCTAAATTTAATATTGGTATCTAGAAGATGCATTCATTTTTTATAGAACCTTATAATTTAAAACTTATAACTTGAGCTGTAGTAATTGTATTACCTATATATTTTATAATGGTATAGTATAACCTAAGTGACCACAAAATGTTGTCCACTTCGCTAAGTTTAACACTTTGTGTTGATATTTTACTTTCTTATGATAAAATGTATTAATTTTAAATGTTACTTTAAATATGTCTACTTAAAATTTAAATATATGTTTTAGAATTCCATTCAAAATGATTTCAAAGGAAACAATATTCGTATACACAATTTCTGCAATAGTTGTTCTATTTACTGCCGTATATTTATATTATAGAAATATATACAGCTACTGGAAAAAATTGGGAGTGTATCACTTGGAACCAACTTTTTTTTTTGGTAATGCTAAGGATCGTGTTCTTTTTAAAAAATCTTTCCATGAGTTTCACAGAGACATGTACTTCAAGTTCAAAGGACATAGATATGCTGGTTAGTAATCCATTTAACTATGAATTATTTTATTTTTGCTTGATTACTAATTTATAGGTGCATGTTTAAATTATTGTAAATTATGACACAGTGAATTCCACTTAATAAAATCACTAGTTTATAGGATCAATTGTTAAGTGGAATTGAAAAATAATAACTAACCAAACCTTTCTAATGTTAAATTTACCTTTTATTAGAATCACTCTGTACCAGATAATTTAATCACTTAATGAATATTTTTTATCGATTTAAAGTCTTAAAACTAATTATTTTAATTTTAAGTGTATATATGAATAAAGTATTGGCTCAAAACAAAAAAATGATTTATTGAATTTTATAGCTAATAGTGTCAAATTTATCTACACCATTGTGATCACATTGGTAGGAACTTATTATATTATATTAAGTTACCACTATACATTATATATCTATGTTACATTTGTACATGGCATTATATAAAAATGCCCAAAATCCAATAAAAAAATAATTTTTTGCTTTGATTTTAGGATATTATCTTGGTCGCCGAGCATCATTGGTTATCCTTGACCCAGACATAATCAAATGTATCATGATTAAAGATTTTAATCATTTTACGGACCGTCAAACAATGAGATTTCGAACATCTGAATATATTACTGAAATGTTGATTAATCTTAAAGGTTCTAAATGGAAACGAATGAGAGGTCAATTAACACCAGCATTTACTTCAGGCAAACTTAGAACTATGGAGCATCTTGTAGATGTTTGTTGTAACAATATGAGTGACTTTCTAAATGAAAATATCAAAAGTGGTAATTATAAATATTTTGTTTCGTCCTAATTGTTAATTCTCGCACATGTACCACGTAGCAAATTTTCATTAGTGTCAATTGTGTGCTATTAGCTTTTATATTAAGGTAAATTTATTTATAGTCAAACTTTTAGGTAAGAATATTATCTGTTTTTTAGGATATTCAAATTTTTAAAAGAATTATAAAAATATTAATATTTAAAAATGATCAAAATTCACTTAAAAATTAAAAAATTGTAAAAAACCAAAGAGAGAACACAGATAAAGTTCTTACTTAAAATTATGATAGTAGGTCAATTTACTTTAATATCAAAACTAGCAACAAACTTTTAAAACTAGTGAACAAAAACGTTCTATGTCGTATGTGTATAAGACGGAAACAATACATACGGATGCTACATACTCTTAACGTTCACAATCAAATAAAACACAAAAGTTTGATTTATTACATTTATGTGTGTGTTTAAATGTGTATTTAAAGATAATAGTGATTTAATGTGTAAATAAATGTGACTCATTTTAGATTATATCTGAGCTTTTACTTTATCACGTGTATATTTTATCCTTCAATTATAGGTACCTATTAAAATAAAGCAAACTAGAATGATTATAATAAAGACCAAAGAATTATGTTCAAATCCTCAGATGTTTATAAGCTCATATAATATTTTATTGAAGTGTGTAATTTTAATAGGTTCATCAGTTAATATTTATTAAGTGTATATTATTAATTTATACTGGTATTAAAAAAACAAATATTAATAATGCTTAACGCTTAAGCCATTATTTTCTCCTTTAGATTTAGTAATAGCTTTGGTTCTTTAATACATAGATAAGCCATCCTATTGTTAATATAGGAAGCTCCTAAATGCTGTCCGCCGCTAGATTTCTTCTTTTGTTAAAAGCCCTAAGTCTGGTTGGCAGCAATTTTCCACCCTTGACGCTTCTGTGCTTTCCACGATACAGTCTATTAGTATTTGACTAATGTAGTCTAGTGGCTGTCGCTATCTACCGTTTTTCCCTTCAATGGCACCTTCTATTATGCTGCCAAGTAAACTGCTATGGTGTAGTATGTGTCCAATTAACTTAGCACTTTTTGTATTTAAGGTCTTGAAAGCTTTTTGTTTTTTTCTGGCTATTTGATCAACTTCTTCATTTGTTGTGTGTTCTGTCTAGATTATTCTAAGCCTCCCTATCATCATATGTCAAACACTAGGAGCTTTTTTTCTTCTGTTTAACCTTTGGTCCATGTCTCACTTCCATCCAGTCCACAAATTACAGACCATTGACTGAGATTTTCTCACTTTCATGTTAATATTTCTATATAAAAACATAAGTTTTTGGCTTTGAAATGCACATTTCGCCTAGTTTATTCTGCTTATTATCTTCCTGGTACAATGACCGACCTTGGCTATTTTAGTTTCCAGATATTTGTATTCATTCGCTTGCTTTAGTGTGTCAACGTCTAGTGTTATTTGAGTATTTGGGTTCTTTCATTACGAAAACAAGGACTTTAGTTTTTTCTTTGTTTATTTTCATGTTGTATTCATTTTTTCTAAGATATTTTGTAAGTACTCTTCATTGTCTGTTATTACTGCAATGTCATCTAGAAATCTTAGCATATCTATTTTTTCTCCATTTATTCTTATTTCTACTTCAATTTCTTCTCTTACTCTATCACATATTGTACATGTTGGTTAAAAACGGATGACGACAGGGTACACACCCCTGTCTTACTCCTTTCCTAATTTTTGCTTCTTCCTGGCTATTTTACTATTCCTGTTTTTTATTCGTATAAACTTTTGATTATCTTTCTATTCTTACATGTAACCCCAACTCTTTTCAAGATTTTAAATAATGTTTTACTTTTCACATTATCAATAGCTTTTTTTAGTGCTTTTCAATAACCTATCTTTGTGTCAAAATATCTTCCCTAGTGCCTTTTCTTCTTCCAAAACTAAATTTGTCCCCTGTAAAGAGTCTATTGCGTTTAATGTAAACGGATACAGTGAACCTAGTGGATTACACCAATTAGTAGCTTCCAATATTAACAATAGAATGGCTTATCTGTACATCATAGAACCTATGTGCTATAGTAATAGTAACAATATTGATTAATATCTGTGTTGATTTATTTATTCATGGGAGTATAATTCAGATCATGACATATCTAGTATTAATGATTTTTATATAAAATTAATATTCTAAAAAATATTAAAAGGACATTTTAACTTTAAAATATTAACCATTTAAATTTTTTAATAATGCATTACAGTAATTTGATATAAATTTGATTTTCAGAACAAGGTTATGATTTGGAAATGAAAGATTTTTTTGGCAAATTTACCTTGGATGTTATCGCAACTTGTGCATTTGGCGTAGAATCAAACTCATTGAAAGATGTAAATGGTGGTTTTGCCAGTCGTGTGTCTAAATTTGCTAGCTTAAGTATTATGAAACGTCTATCCCTATACATAGTACTACTCTTTATGCCTGGTATTGCTCGATTCGTTCCATTGTCTTTTTTTAACATGGAAGTGATACAATTCTTAGCTAATGTGATCAAAGACGCAAAGAAATTCAGACAGTCAACTGGTCAAAAGTATGTACATTGTCATTAATGATTTTTAAATCTTAAACATGGATTTATTATAATTAATCATTAATCATTCTTGGAAAAAAATATTATAATTTAACTACAATTAAAATCAATGTTTTTAACATTCAGATTTTTATATTAAATAATGTACCTAAATATTAACTGTTTAACTATTAACTCAACTGCTCAAAATATATAATGTATCATGAGTAAAATATTTTTTCCAGGCAATATATACAATTATATGATAATTACAATAATAGTGTTATAATTAATTATTAAAGTTTATAATTTATAAATGATACAAACATTGACTAAAATGCTTAAATTTATTTTCTCTGATTTTTTTTTAAGGCGGAACGATTTTTTGCAGTTATTATTGGATAGTGAAACTGATTCAGATAAAAATGACAAAACCAAATCAAAAGAAGGTAAATACATTTTTAAGTTTTCACTAGATATTGTGTTTAGTTAAAAAAAAAAAAAAAAATAATTATTGTACCCAAAAGAAAAAATTCTCCTTTTTATAATGATAAAACTTATTTAACAACTAAACATATGTACATTTTTTTGGTTTCAGATGCATTGACTGAGGCTCAAGTGGTTGCTCAATCTGTATTGTTTTTGATTGCTGGGTTCGAGACATCTAGTACATTGTTGACTTTCACATGTTATGAGATGGCTATCAATCAAACCATACAGGCTAACTTACGAAAAGAAATATGTTCAGTGTTGGAACGATATAATGGCAAATGCACTTATGAAGCCATGCAAGAAATGCCTTTATTAGACATGGTATTGATGGGTATGTATCATCCTAGTTGCATAGATAAAATTTTAATAAGAAATCAAAATCATATCTATACTCTATAAAAAAAATACTCATATCTATTTAGAAACGTTGAGAATGCATCCACCTGTAGCACAATTAGAACGTGTGAGTACCCAAGACTATATGTTGCCTGATTCCAACTTATTACTGAAAAAAGGTATGACAGTTCAAATACCTGTCATTGGGTTACACTATGATCCAGAATATTATCCAGAACCCTACAAATTTGAACCAAATCGATTTTCTCCAGAAGAGAAAGCTAAACGTTCGCATTATGTTTTTTTACCGTTTGGAACTGGACCAAGAAATTGCATTGGTATGTATTTGAAATAAGTGTCCATCAACACACCCATCAATACTCTTGTAGCATGATATTCTAAGTACTTATATGTGTTTTATTAGGTCTACGATTTGCCTTGATGAGTACAAAGAGAGGAATGGTGCATCTCTTAAAAGACTTTTCAATTGATCTGAGTAACCAAATGACTGTGCCTTATGAATACAGCAAACATTCAATGTTGCTTAAGGCAAAGGATGGTATAAGGCTATCATTCAATAAGTTGAGTGCATAGTAAAAATGGTTTGGCCAACTACTTAAAATTTAACAAATTTTTGGGCTGTGTTAAATTTATGGGAAACTAAAGTTAATAGTTTATTTCTCAGTTTTGTCTATTGCTATTCTAAATGATAACAAAATGTGACGTATTTATACTTTTTTTTAATTAATAGATTTTATTTTTATATACTTATTACTGGTTTAAAATATTTTTTTTTAATTTATATATTATGTTAAATTTTGTATTATTTTAATATTGTTGAATATAATGTTAAAGAAAGAACTGCGGTCCACACGAACTTCTTGTTTTTTCCCGTTGTAAACTATTTTAGAGTTTATTTACAATTTATTAGAGATTGTTAAAACAAATTGTTGATATGTTTGTCAAGCTTTTGTATCAATTGTATATTATAATCTTATTTATTTTTGTTGAATTTATTTAATTTTATATATTAGTTATAATTTCAACATAAGACATGAAAATGCATGCAGTTTTGAATAAAAGAACATTTTTTAAAGACTATACCTTCAATTTTCAACAAAAATTTTTGAATTAGAGATTAATGAATCAACATAATTTTATAAATATTTTTAAATAAACTGTCATATTAGATTTTTTTACTGCGCTGTATTTGGTATAGAATGCCGCTTATAAAGTTGGTTTAAAAAAGTAATTTAACATCAACTTTGTTTTAATTTACTATAAATAATAAAACTGTTTATGCTGGACATGAAAAAATAACTCAAGGTGTCTGCGAGCTACTACCTATCGAATAACTATGTAATCAAATGTTTGTTTGACAACCATACTAATTTTAAATTATTTGTGATTAACTTTTTAAAATACAAATTTAATAATTAATAATCACTTAAATTTAAATGTTAGTCAATTTAGATTATGAAAAGAAAAAACTAAAACCTTTTCATAGTTTGGAATGATATTGGGTCATGAACATTGTGTTTTGAATTGCAAAGAGTTCAAAAATTAATTTTGTTTTGAGTCATCATAGTAATAACTCATAAATTATGTCATCATAGTACCCAATAACATAACTATGTGTAATAAAAATAGCTTATTTCAAATTTCAGATAGACACAGCCAAAAGAAAAGCTTATAGTTTGTTTCAAAAAACCATATGATTGGAAAATATTGTTTTTATAATTTTTTTAAATAGTCAGTAAGGCCTATGAATCTGTTACAAATGTGATTCATAAAGACAAAATAGCAGCTGTATCATGTGGACTATGATGTTCGGTTGGGGAGGAGGGGACAGTAAGGTGGATTTGTTCCACCTTAGATTGTTATAGGCTGTAATGCCCCCTCCCCTAGCCCCTAGTTCATTATTATAATAGCTATTATGTTATTAACGGTTGATCAAAGTGTTAATTACAATTTTTACAGTATAGAATAGAATAATGTTATTAAATAACAATATATAATAATGTACTCACTAAAATATGTATAATATGTATATTAATGTTATATATTTATATAGCAGTATCGTACACAATTTGAAAGGTGTGGTGACATAATTAATTAGGCAATTATCATCTCAAGCATGCTGAGGTCAATGTAAAGAACTTAGTGCATATAAAAACTGCCTTAATATTTTAATAAAATCACATGTCTTCTAAGAAAATTAAAACTTTGATTTCCAGGAAATGGTTTGACCAGTATACCAAATTTCATTATGAGATCATAATCTCGTCTAGTATAGTTGCCATAACCATAGATCACCACTCTAGAAGTCTAGACGATAAGTCAATATCATGTAAGAGGGTTACTTCACAAGAGCTCGCAGATGGCTTACATTATAGGATAGCAAATGACAAGACGATTTGGAATACCCAAAAACTTAGAGACAGGTCTTAGGTATTAGTATTCAAAGTCTGGTCATAACACCGCTCACCATCTCAATTTCTACTTTATAGCTTACTATATTGTATTTTTGTTAATTAAGTATTTTTAAGGTATACCTACCTAAAAACCTCATGTAAGTAGTAGGTGCTAAATATTCATTCTCAAATTGATGTATGTATCGACCAGTGGAGACCTAACAATAATGTTTATAAAACTTATTAAGGATAAATATTGTGATTTGTTCATACTTCATAACGTTTCCATCTAGTTTTATCCACAACTTTTTTAAATGATTTCAATGCAGCGGGAATTTTTTTAGTGTATTTGATAATTTATTGTAAAGAGGAAACATTTTATTTTTTGTCAAGAAAAAAATCATTTTATTTTCAATATTTTTGTATGGCATTATTCAATTAAATAGAATTTATATAAACTTTTCAGTGATATTTTTGGATTCTTGTTCTGACCATTTTAGAAGGTATAAAATATCAAATTAATGATTTTTGAACATTTTTGTCGGCGACCTAATATCATTATTCTAATAACATTATATTTTAGTATATTTTGATATTAGTACAATCACACCGACCAGTTAATTGTCAAATGTTTGCGTGTTGCATGCTATTTGTCACAATTATTTTTCTATTATATTTCTATGATAGTTTAACTGCATGTTGGAACTACACTTTTTTTTCCAATGTTTTTAATATACAATAAATGTTTTGTGAATTAATATTATTATGATATATTACATATATTGAGATAAAATAAAAAAACTTATATTATAGTCTTTAGTAGGGTCGAGACTTATTAGACACAAATTGTAAATATGCATGCACATATGCACTTAAAATAAACAAAATGTGATCACAAGTAAGCAACTGATTATTTTTCCAATGGCAATTAAAATATTTGATTTATTCATTTAATTTAGACAATTTTTTGTAATTACTAAATTTTCTGACAATAATAACACTATAAACGATAAGTCAATAACCAATAGTATATGCAGGAACAATTTTTCTAATAGCCTAATTGCCAAATCCAGTTAATAATGTTATTATTTCATCTTCATTAATAAACCTAGTTATGCGGAGAAACAATTAGGTATTTCCGTAGTTGCCCTGTCCTGAATTGTTCTATGATTAAGGTATATTGACTGACGAATGGAAGTTAAAAAAAAAGGGGGTTCAACCTTTAAAATAAATTTACTTAACATAAAGTAAAAAGTAAAAACTGAGTAAATATGCTATGCATAACAATTAAATTGCCAAATTTGTGAAACATGTGTTTTGCTCGGAAAACGACAAAATAAGAGAAAATATGCAATTAAAATTTTTATATGTAAATCCGTTATGACTGAAAACTAATTTATATCTTATTAAGACTATTCTGCAGTCATTATTAAACAATATTCAAATGCAACAAGTTTCTAACCCTAATCATAAATTACATTTATTTCAGCATATATTTAATTGAAGGGTCTAAACTATAATATAAAAATACTTTTAAATGATAATAATTAATAATATTAAGACATAATGTTATACATTTAATTACATAAATTGACAATAATTGTATAACTTGTGGAACCAGTTTAAAATTGAATAATACATACAATTAATATTTTTGTTTTAAAAAATGGTACATACACTGTAATGTCCTTAAAACTATTCAATAACACATAATATTATTTAGACTGAACAGAAACATTTGGCATATTGTACATTTCACAAAATAAGTTTTGATGTTCTATAATTGTTCTCTGTAGGATAATATTAAAACTTTGACATTTTTATAATTTAGTATTGTTGATTAAACAAATTTGTTTGAACAATGGATTGAACTGCTACATATTCAAATTGTATTACATTATATAATTAAATATAAATGTAATACCAATAATTGTTACTTAAAAAAAAAATTATAAAATAAAAGTATTACAATTTGGAATGTTTAAATTGTCTAATATACACTTGGTTCTAAGAATCATTTGTAGTGCCACGTTGCAACATTTGTGTACTATCGATTTTATTATCAGGAGACATCAAAAATTCTTTTTTGATCGGCATGAGTGCTGCATTACTTTCCGTAGCTGTATTAGAGACTGTACATTGTGTGTTAAGTTCCTTAGAATTAACCAAAGATTTTTGTGGTGATATTTTTACTTCTTTCTTTTCATAAGGGTGGTACCTTGCATGTTCAGGTTGAATTTTCGGAGATTTATTTTGAATTGGGCCCAAATCTAATAAATAAATGTAATTAGTTTTAATTTTTGATAAAATGTATTTATTATACAATACTTGAGTGAGTAATTGGCTGTAAATGTGCTTTCGGGTCATTATGCATTAATTGCTGTTTTGTAGCTTCTGGACTTTTAGAGCTCCTCTCTTCCTCAGGAAAATTGTTGATTATTTCACAATTTAAATCATCATCTTTTTTTTCAACTTCATCAGCTAAAATTTTAATTATTAAAAAGTTAAAAGGTTACTTAACACAACCAATTATGTATATACATTTTTGGTTTTTATATTTTAACGCAATTGCAAAAGCTAATATATGACATGCACTTGTAGGCAGTAAATCTAATCACAATAAAAACCCTATACATATAATCATAAAAAAAAATGTATAACTTTGAAAAAAAAATGATTTAAACACATTTGTATATACAACTAATGAGCCGAAAAAAATTGAGTGTTACAAAAAAAGTTCTTTAAAACTGAAAAATTATAATATTGATGTATCAATAATACTTATGTCTTATGGGGGACGTTGAAAAAATCCTTAGGCTATTATTAAACTATTATAGTTAAATTTGTAACACCGATTAAATTACAGTGCATTGAACAACCGGTTACATGCCTGTTGGCATTATTCTGCATACCATGTGAACAATGTTACATACCTAACCAGTAATTAGTGTTGTACGCTGTAAATATGTTGAAAAACAAGAAAATGCAAAATACAATTCATAATATGTTCTAAATATATACAGCATGAAATAAGTAAAATAATAGCTAATTATCAACATTCCATATCTATTGATAACATTTTTCAATTTTATTTTTTTAATAAAAAGTTTGATGATTCTGTATCCGCTAACAAGATGTTTCAAATATGAATTTAAAAATTATAGTTGTGCACCATATCTAATTCTCATAATTATTTTATGAAATGTTATATTTAACAATACTTGTCTGGTTATTGGGCAGAGTTTTTTTTAGTGAACTGATTGAAGAAATATAGTTTTCGATATTAGTAAATAAGCTGTCATCTATATCCTTAAAATCATCATCATCTGCACCACTTTCTGCTTTAGACTCGTCATCGCCTAAAAATTAATTATTAATACTTGCATTAATTCATTTACATTTAAAATACATATTAACAATTCATACTCATATCTGAGCTACTGGAAGTAACTTGTTTAGCATTTTCAATAGAGTTCCTCTTTTTTTGTATTTTTTCAATAACTTCTGGAAGTTCATGAGGAGGAACTCCAGGAATGTCAGGCAAGTCATATTTAAAGTCATCACTATTATCATCATTCTATAAAAAATCAAATAACAATTAAATAATTAAAATGTTCATAAAAATATTTAAAAATGTATATTCACCAAGTATGCTCACCCTCATTTTTTAATTTAATAAAGAATTTATTCAAATTCTGATTTTAGGAATGTTTAAATAATATACTCCAAGACCATATTTTCAAATTTCTGAATTTTTTTTGTACTACTTAAGGAGTGTAGTGACACAAACTTATGTTTTTCAAATGAAAACCCCTCTTTTTTACTTTTAATTAATTGGTGGGTAATTTTTTTGAAAATTTTGTTTTACTACAGTGGTGGATTTTGAATAGCTGCATTATTGAAGAAAAAAAGGAGGTGAGCATGTTTGATGAATTACCCTATATAGTATTTGTTATACCCTTATATATACAAAATAGAAAATTGTTGAAATTATGTAAATTATAATACATAGGTAGGTAATAAATGCTAACTTCCATTATCATTTACCAGTGTATTTAAAAGTAGGTACCTATATGCTGAATTCTTTATCAGAAATATTTTTGTATTTAAGTTTAATTCTAGGAGCAAGAATTACTGTGAATTGTTTGGGTTTATTAGTTGCATTCGTCCCATTTATAGTACACAGATCTAAAGATTTAGAACTTCTAAGCCCTTCTCCTTTTTTCCTGTTTAAATGCTAAATTAAAAAATACAATTAGTTTTGATTTTATAGCAATGATATTAGTGTTAAACAGTGTTTCACATGGTTCACTTTATTCAATATACAGTAGAAATAACTATAAAGAACAATGCTTAAAACGAGATACTGTTTACAACAAGCAAAACGTTAGGTCCCCACAAGAGCTTACATGATTGTATATTGAAATCTAAGTTAACAGAGAGTATGGCCATTATTACAAGTTATCGGCTATAATTAGTAAAACACTTAAAATTATAAAATAAATGTTCAGTTATATAGAGTTGGTCATTATATTTGTACTATTGCATGTGTATATATGTAAATATTTAGGTTGTTATGTTTTAGCCAATATTTAGGTCGACTTGCTTGTTAAATTGCACTTCTATATTAAATATTTTATCTTTATATTGTAGATATCGACTTACAATACAAATAATTTATGTATTTATATAATATCAAATTAATTTAAGTATGTATATACAGTAATAAACTCCAATTAGCAATAATGATTAATACTAAATAATAATTTATAGTCTAGTAAAAATAAAATATCTGTTTTTGTTGTTGTGTGCATATATTTCCTGCTTCTAACCGGAAACAACAAACACTCGTTAGGGTGCAATTGAATTAAATTTAACAAGCGTCCAGTTACAACGATAAAAACTAGCTGGCCCTTGACACTCGTTATGACTGATTTCTACTTTATTTAAGTAATACTGTGTTATTCTAATAGATTAAGCCTCTTTTATTATTTAATTAGTTTTAAAGATATAGGAATGTGTTGAGCACATACTTTTAGAACAATATAATACAAAGAATCATACTGACACAAAAAGAGAATTAGTCTTAGATTAGGTACAATATTCTTAATAACAATATCATAATTTTATCAACAATATGAATTATCACAAAGACTTGGTTCATGTCTGTACTAGAGTACAAGGACAAATTATTGGACTTGTTGAAAATAATGATACTATAACCTATTGATACTTCAAAATTACAATCATACTACATACATTATGGTTTCGTTCGTCCGAGATTTTGATTATATCAATGTTCTTGCGTTCCATGATGCAGAATTGATTATGACGATGGCTTATTTTAATTTAGTCTTCAGGGTTCGGATAATGGAACAACCTTTTAATTGCAATTTACCTTCAATTATAAAAATTGTAATTACCAAACAATAATTAATAAAAATAAAATGCTTTCTGGTAACAAAAAAAATACTCTTGTTATCGGGGAAATGAAACTAGTACCACACTACCATACCCAGGAGCGCGCTTATCCTTGGTGCATCAAAATGAGTAACTTGGATGAGCTCCGCAATTTCCAACCCACAATTCTCCCACTTCAGTATCTACAAACCGCTGTGATCGCCTCCATTCGCAGCGCTGGCGTCGCCGGCAGTGGCGGCGGCCGGAGTTGCGTTTTCGAATGTTCAGTGATGGGAATGCTTGAGAATGGACGAGTTTTGGTCGCTGCTCAGGAGCGCTCTAACCTGTTGTACAATAGCAGTTTCAAGTGTTTAAACCTAGTTGGTCAAATGGAAAATGCCACATTATAGTCTATCATCATTACTTAAACCGATGTTAAACCACTGATTATAGTCATGTAATATCTACCACGATTAACTAACTAGTAAATTAGTTAATCATGACATCTACTATATATCTAGTTAACCGGCAAAACACAAATATATATTAACACTTAAATACAGAGGTTACCCAAGTGTGCACCGTGGCGTCTTTGCAGCCATAGGCGGAAATCCATTGAAAATATTTGGAGGGCTAATATTTTTCATTCACAATAACTGTTGGGTTTTTAGAGCGGCTTAGCCTAGAAGAATTTGGTGTCCAGGATAGGCTATTTTCAATCATCCTAGAGTGTTCTGTAGGTAGGTTAACTGGCAAATTAGTGGTATTTTAGTGGTCAAATATCGCTTAAATATTAGAGCATTAATAAATGATGAAATAACAGATTTTATAAAAGAAAATATTTATAACAATAATACCTACAACTTGAAATGTCATATTAATGTCATATAAGTATTTAGTAGGTACCCCAAACCACAAACTCTCACAGTTTTATATATAATTGAAATGTGAGTTGTAGTTTATATTCAATATTAATACATCAAAGATGAAAAAATTATTTTTTAAAAAAACTACAAGTCATTTAAAAAAAATAGTAATGTTCGACGTAAAGGAAATATCACAAATATTGTTTGAAATTTTTATGTTACATAATATAAGTTAATTGTTTCTTTTTAATTATATTTTATTAAGATTGATGATAATCGATTATTTTCCGTTTTCCGTTTATTATTTTCTTTTCATTATTATTCGCTACAATGTTATAAATAATGCTTTTTTGAAGCTCTACAAATAACACAATGTAGGTACAATAAACTGTCCAAAGCCTTATAATTTGATCAACGTACTATTTGCTTCGTTATGACAATCATTAATATAATAAGTATTATTATTATATTATACTATATTTATTTATATTTTATATTTCATATTGATTATAAATTGATTAATGCACCTTAAAAACACCAGGGATAAGTTTTTTCGAAAATAACTAACCATAAGAAAAATATAATTAACACCCCAATAATAAACCCATTAAAATCATACTTTGTTAAAAATAATGCAAACATGATTTTTTGTCTTTTATAACTGTACTATTATTCGATAAAAGATACTTAAATATTATTATTAAATGTTATACAATTAAGTAACCACGAATCAAAATTAAGAAAGTAAAGTTGTATGTTTTAAATATAGTTATTAGTTATTAGTAAATAAATAAAACTAATATTCCCAACTACCAAAGTGATACACACACTTTAACATGCAGAAATGAGAATACTCAATAACTCAATAACAAATATTTGTTAATATGTATCATCCTGATAAATGGTAAATACATTTTCATGAAATAGGATATGATTATTAAAAATTATTAACTAAATTATAATTATTTTCAACTATTACTTGAAAATTGAATTTTATTGAAAATATAAGAAATGTATCAATATGTAGTATGTACCTAGTTGGAACTTTATACTTACGTCCCACCAGCACCCCTCTCATTTTCAAAGGATTGCATTTTTATTATTCAATCCTTTAGTAGGGTGCTTGTATGAATTTGTAAACAGCGGTACAGAATTTGTATGACAAAAGGAGCTCAGATATATCAAAAAATCCTCAGGAGTGGCATAATGTCTCACCGCCCCTCAGACATGGGTAAAATTTAACAATGTTATAGAACTTAAGAAAATTATAGCAGTGTATCAAGCATTAATAGAATACATAATTAATCAACTATGGTATTTCTATATGGGGAGGTAGGTAGGTACTTATCAAACAACTATAATGTCAAGGCAAAACAAGATTGATCGTTATAAGTTTTTTATTATTTTTAGTTACTAAATATGACTCATGATGATGATCTATATTTCTTTCGAAATAATTTAAATGATTCAGAATATTGTATTGTAAAATAATAAAATTCGAAGAAAAATATCATCTTAATTCATCTTATTCACTTCATTATTCCAATGCAATAAGAATAATCTAAAAATTAAACGAAAGCTGAGCGACCAACGCCTGTAAGCTGTGACAGTGTCAAGTGGGTCACTTACCCTTGTGTTTATACTGTATACTGAGTGGTGCGACGGTCAGAGGCGCACACAAATGGGTGTATACGTGTTATATTATCATATTATTATGAATTATGATTATATCGAGATGGCGAGAGGTAACAGTGTCTGCAGTATTATTTTAGTGCAATAATTTTCGGCCGTGACCTGTGCGCTATTGTAGGGCGCGGCGTGCATAATCGCAATTTGTGGATGCCAACGACGGGACCCGTGTGTCGCTATACTATACTATATTAATATAGTGAGATGGTTCTCGTCATTTTTGGCGGCTCCCTGCGATTTTGTATTTAGAGAGCGACGAGTTCGATATTTACGTCTAATAATTGCTAAAGAAATTCCGACCGACAGCAATGGCTGTCAGGTATTTGTCATCTGTATTACTAAAATAAAAATGCATTGAACTATTAATATTTATTTGTATGAATATATCTTATAAATAAATATACAGTGTGTTTTTTTTTTAAAGGTAACACTAAATAATTCTGTCCAGTGACATTAGCTTGATATGCAGTTTTCAGGAGAAGATAGCTAGGGAGTACATAAATACACATTTCTTGATGATTTTTACATTTTTAGATCTTTGGGTGTGCTCATGCACAATACAACTTGCAATTTTTAAAACGGCCACAAGTGCTTTGAATACCAAATTCAGACAGATTGATTTTTTTTAAAGTCAATTTGGTAATTTTTACAAAATCTCTAAAATCAAAATTGACTAAAGGACAACGAGTTAAAGTTTTGATTAAAATTATTGATAGCCTACGGATACAAAAAAAAATACTTGATATTTTATAATAATTCATACAATTCTAGTATGATTGTTGAAAAATTCAATAATTTTAATCGAAACTTTAGCTCGTTGTCATTTAATCAATTTTAATTGAAGTTCATCATGTCTGACTGAAGCATCTAGAAGCAGATGCACTGCACGCAGCATTGAAACAAGATTTTGGATCTGGTCAGTTTGAAAATCTATAAGGTCTCGTTTACGACAATGTGTCCCATGTTTCTGTACACTACCTCGAAGTTAACAATCAGATATGGCAAGCCTTTCATCATATCGTGTGCAACAATTCAAACCTTTTACGAGTACTGGTGTTGACTAGGCCGGTCCGAAATCATTAAAAGGTTCTCGAGATCGACGATATACTCCCACACTAGCATATATATGCCTGTTTGTCTGTACAATTGTGAAAGAGTATCATTTGGAGTTGAGCTCAACCTTGTCCTCTGAGACATTCCAGTTGGCGTTTGCACGCTTTTCATTTCACCGTGATCCAATAAAAGAGATGCTCAGTGATTGCAGGAAAAACTTTGTTGGAGCTTCAAAACTGTTAGCCCTTTTGACAGAGCTCATCACTCACTAGGCAGCGTTCCAAAGTCACGTGCACTTATTATTGTATTTACGATCAAGCAAATAAAATACGATTTGTTCCTAACACTGGAATCGTAAGTCTTATATTACTATCGCCGTCGATGTTGGAGGCTATATACTGTCAGCGTCGGTGGCGAGTGAACTCTGCGTAAGTCCACCAACAACATACGTTGTGCGAGAGGCTACCCAGGTTGTCCAGTTCGACGTATGTCTTCTTCATACACACGTCAACGTCAATCCATCGCCATTACAAGACTTCAATAGCTTTAAGTTAGATTTAAGTATTGTCCCTGGTTTTATGAGCTTTGTGGCCATTGCACCAGACCGAATCGACCATAGAGGCCCCCTCCTCATGATGAACTTGCAACATCCTAATTATCGTGATAGGTCTTTCCCGTCCGCGTCGTTGTCATCGTCGTGCGTGAAATTGCCTACCTGTCGAGTTTGAGGCGTAGTAACATGTGGTTGCCTACCCAATGAAATAGTCGGCGTTAGTTTGGACATTGGCCATATGCAAAACACAAGTGGTTCTCGAGCATCACCGAGTGGTTTTTCGGGTAGCCCCTATTTAGGGCTCTTACATTAATAATTAATAAAAAAAATAATCAATATAACGTTATTAAAATGTTAATAATTCTTATGCGTCAATTATATTTATTATTTTTGAATATTATATTTGTATTAATTATATTTAGGAGTCAGTTATATAAATTAAATCATTTTTATGGTTAAATTGTGTTCATATTTTTTTATTTTTTTCTAAAATTAATTCGATAACAATTGTAATTTGTGTAAGCAAATCATATTGATAAAAAAAAGCCTAGTTGAATAAAAAATCTAAATTGGATAAAAATTCAAAATTAGGGCATTTCCCTAGCAACCCCACCAAAACTTTTTTTTATAAACTAAATCCCTACAAACCAAAATGATGAGATAACAAACCAATTCAAAACGACTACAAATAAATGGTAAAAAACATTCAAAATTCGAAATTTTGGGGCAAGGGAAATGTACATCGTTCGTTGGAGGTAAATACAGCCGCAACAATGCCTTCCCTCAACTAGTACGACGACGGCGATGCGTACTACAGCCGCTGCAACGACGTCGACTATGATCTTGTCCCACTGCCTTGACGGCGACGTGTAGTAAATACGATAAAACGTTCCCTGGTTATGATGGTGTGTAACGTACCGACAGCGAGAGTAATGGCGGCAACGATCACGGTACTCCTCCCACTTGATGTGGACGGCGGTGCTCACTCGCGTTACTCCGACATCGGGTTGTCTCGGCGAGGAGGTTTCGGCGTGCTGTTGACGGCGGCGAGAATGTTGTGTACACTTGACCGTCGCCCGATCCGACCTTGAAGTAGCGCGGCTACGGAACGACGACGGCGGCCATTCGTTCGACGATATTATAATGACACCGTATTGGCGTGTATGTACGCTCTTTTATACAAATATATATACATAAATATATATATGATAATTGATTTTACGGACATTTTTCATGATTTCTTGATACTGAAATTAAATTCTGACGACTGTAGTCTACATAGGTTTTTCAGTGATCTCCAAAATTGCTCTGGCATTAAATAAAATACATCAAATTTTAACCGCTACCACCAAATGATGCGTTCCAACGCCATTGATCGTCAAAAACATTAAACAATAATTTATAAATAAAAACACTCTTTACTTTACACACTAATTTATTATATTTGAGTCAAAATACTCGAATACTTTATTAAGATTTTCTGATAATTATTAAGATCTTCTGCCTCACTCGAGTCCGTACTACCAATACGTCCCCGATCGTAGAAGCCGTTTAACTACTCGCCCTAAAATTTCCTGACCAAGGCACTTCCCACAGTCACGTATGTCATTAACTTCAACATAATTGTCATATACATAGAATAAATACTTACAAATATAGCACTAAGGATTGGTAAACAAAAAATTTCAAATTACTCATGTCGGGAGCGGGTAAGACGTCTACCCTCCCCCATCCTACCAAGGGCTTTTTGATAATGAATCGATTGCATTATCATTATCGAACAAAAAAATCTTTTGTTCCTAAACATCTGATAATCTGATACCTTGAATTTTGTATAGTCATTAATCCTGTCTCTTGTTCTTTAAAATTGTTTTTAGAAACATAATATAAGTACAGAATTATTTTCAAATTTTAAATACTGAAGGTAAGTTCAACTCCTATGTTTTAAAGTCATTAGTATTAACTTGCCAATTTTATTTCTAAGTTTAGGAATTATATTATTTTTTTTGTGTATAAACATTAGATCATCTAATTACCTCAAAATATGTATAATATAAGTTGTTTGAACATTCTCAGTATACAGTTACAAATGAGAAGGTGACAATCATGGTCAAAAATGTAGGTTGTATTGAACAGACAATTATGGTGAGACATCACCTTAGAATGTTGCCAATGATAGGCGGATCTGTTATGAGTATGTGACCGACTGACCACCAGAGCTCAATGTGCATGCTTAAAGATGTTCCTTTCTTATTTTGAACTGAGTATAGAACTGAAGTATAAATAGATGTGTTTTCTTGTGATTTGATTATAAATGATTATTTCAATAAATAGCTTTGTTCAAAGTATTACAGCAGCATCTCATATTCATTACTGAAGTATCTAATAAAAAATTGTTTTCATTTAGATTAAGCATTTATTTTAATGTTTATGTATTATGTAGCCTGGTAAAAGCAATAAAAATTTTAAACAAAAAATTTATCTTAATAATGTATGTAAAATATACATGATTCAATCAATGTTTTAGGTAGATATTATATAATATTTTTAGTTTATCATTCAAGATATTAACTTATAAAGTACGAGAATTTTACATTTAGCAAAAAAAACTAAATATCTACTAAGCACAGTGCTTCAATTGATGGGGCGGAGTCTAGAGTTAATTTACTTTTTAAGTATACTTTATTTTACTTTTAGATTTCACTTTTAATTATTTCAAATTAAAGTACTGACTAAACAGGAGAAAAGATGGGCAATTTCTTAATTTTATTAGATATTTGTCTTTAATAAATTAACACATATTATGTTGATGTAGAATTGTAGATTTCTTAACTATTTAAAATTTGAAATGATGTGTCGTTTATAGCTGAATACCTAATTAAAATGGGTGGTCTGAAAAGTGTACAATTCACAATTCCCTATGTCTTTCCCTATACATATAATTTTAAATATTTTAAAATTTAATATTTGTATTACTTTTATTATTTTAATTTAATTGTATTTTTAACAAATATTGAAATATTAAAATAGGAAACATGGAAGATGATGAAAATGTTGGAGCTCCATCATCAAATACCAGTAATCGTAAGGCAAAGAAGAGATTTCAATTAAAGAAATGGAATGCTGTTGCTTTATGGAGTTGGGACATTGCTATGGACAATTGTGCCATCTGTCGAAATCACATCATGGATTTATGCATTGAATGTCAAGCTCGCCAAGAATCAATGTCTAGTGAAGAATGTACAGTTGCGTGGGGCAAATGTAATCATGCTTTTCATTTTCACTGCATATCTCGTTGGTTAAATACTCGACAAGTATGTCCACTTGATAATTGTGAATGGGAATTCCAAAAGTATGGTGCATAGAAATACATTTGAAATATAATTTAACACACATTTTTCATTCCTTGTATTTTTGTATTATTAAAATGTTCATGAAATTAATATTTAAAGAAAAAAATATGATTTCCAATCACTAAATTTCCTGATACTTATTTTTTATATCAAACATTTGTCCTGTAAAATATTTAATTAAAAACATTATACAATAAATGAATCTATGTACTGTGGATACAACTGATAAATATAATACTGTTTTGTATATTTTATTATTTTTTATTGACACAAATAACTACTGGGTTATGTATTATATAGAATTAAGGTTCAATTACTATAGTGTTTAATCAAAATAGTAGTAATATGATATATGAGTTGACACATAAGTCATACTTACCTATACAGTTACACCCAAGAATAAAAAACACACATATATATATGCACTGGCTATTTAAGCACTGGCTTTTCTAAAAACCAGATTTAAAATTTTTTATTTTTAGTACTAAAAAATAAAAATGGAACATGTTAAATTATATGTGTAGTGATAAAGTCAATAAATTATATACTAATATAATTATATTGTCAGGTCTTTCTGTTTCATTCTATGTATAATGCATCTACTATACATATATATTATTATTATTATTATTATTATGTATTTATACTATATGTATATTATTACTATATTATAATGATTAAATTAATAATAATAACAATAATAATATGACGAATGCAATCTTTTTGGTAAAAATTAAAAAACAACTAACATTATCTCAAAATGAATTACTTAAATAACAATATCATTTAAGAAAATATATGCCTATCATGAAATGTGAAACTTGCATTGTAATGTCTTCTCAGAATTTCATTTTGTGTGCAATGACTTATCAATTGTTATTGAATTCAAATTGACATAGATATAAATATGAATAAGTACATTACATAGGTACATTTACAGTAACTACTTATTCAATGACAATTAGGCTATTGGCTACTATATACGTACACTGTACAGTGTACAGCATTGTGGACAAGTGGATAAGTACAATACTTAATAGTACGATTTACCAATTATAATTGAACGTTGGCTTTAGTTTGCAGTCTGTACTTTTTTGGTCATATAGCTTAATTTATTACTAAGAAATTATTTTAAGCCTAAAATATTTTTTCGTATGTATTGTAATTTAGTGTATTGATTTATTGTGGTTTCTTTATACCTATTATCAATCCTCAATAATAAGGAAGACAACACAAATGAAAGTAGTTGAAACATAAAATATAAACTAAAATATTGTATATATTTAAATGCATAAAATAATAGGTCTCTAAATTAAAATGTTATCTTGTTATTTAAAAAAAAAACATATTAAATGCAACTTAAAATACAATTATTTTACAGCTCAATTAATTTACAAAATATAATGCATAACAATATCCAATCAAATTAATCAATAATTTAATTGGCAACAATTTAAAATTATTTCGTTGAGAATACTAATTATTACAAATTAAAAAAAAAACACATTAAAATAAGCTTAGGTTATCACTTATTTAATAGTTCGGGGAAAGACTTGTAAGTTTTTTTGATTTCTGTTTATTTTTATTCCTTTTGTTACTGTTATTGACTGCTATCAGTCTAAAGAAGTCAATAATTAATAATTATACAGATGTATTTATAATAAACATAAACATAAATATAATAATATAATACTATAACATATCTTAATACATAATTATATTAGTATTTTATTATAGTAAATAAATTCATAACAATTTTGATACTAAATTCATACTCAGTGTCTCAATTTAAAAAATGTATTCTTATGAAATTTGGCATTTAAGTTCATAATTGTTTTAAAAACATTTCCCTTTTGAATCAATATACATTTTTTATACACAAAATGATAGATTGGAAAATAATTTCTTTGGTTTTATCCAAAATATATGATCATCTATCGACTGTCATCATTCTTGTTATGGATTAATTATCCAAATTAATGATAAATGATTGATAAACCAAAGTTATGCAAAATTATTATTAAATCATATATATAAATCACTTTAACAATTTGTGCAATTCTTTAATGAAAAATCTCGTGAACAGTACCTTCATTTATTCAATTGTATTTATAATTCGTATATTGTTTGATATTTTTAATATTTAAATTAATGAATTTATCGGGTTATTGAATTTTATTATTAATTAAATCATTTATAGATTTATGGATTTGAATTGTATATTATTGTTTAGTATTTTTAATAAAAACGTTTTGTCCGGAAGGGAATTGCCCCGTTTTGGGGGGAACGTCCAATGAATTGGGGAAAAGACTTGGGTGGGAAATGTCCTAGATTCATAATTGTTTTTGTTCCTATAATAGTTTAACATGGATCTAAAATGGTATGAAAGAAACAATATTTTATTTCGCTGTTTCCAGTCCACACCTACTATATTAGGTTGTGTTTTTTTTTTATAATACAAAATGTTTATTTTCATATAATATATATAAATTTTAATTGCGGATGACATACAATGACATTTGGAGTCAAATGCAGCCCGCGGGTTGCCAATCTTTGCAGTGTATAATATTAATATTCACCACGGTTTCAGATAATAGAATAGATAGTATTGTTCCGATTTATTATAAAAATTCACCGAGATAGATAAACAATATAAAATAAGGATTGTTTATCTATCTCGATGTAAAAATGATATCACATGACAGCTGATATGAATACAAAAGTTATTCGATCTGGGGCCTATTCTACCAACATACTTTGCAACTTTTCACTTTTCAAAATTTGCAAAGTGCAAAGTCTTTTCATTCCAAATAAAAATTAAAAAGACTTTGCGAATGATGGTAACATTATGAAAATTGCGTTACCACTTTTCATTTTGTTATCATATTGTTACTTTTTGATACATGACGCCTTAGATCATATACTATGGATGGAACCACAGCGTATTTTTTTGTTGCCGATATTATCGGCGAGTCTCTTGATTATGTGTTCGATATTACAAGCGAAGTTACTAGTCGCATTTTTACCAGTTGGGGAATCAGATACTAAAAAATGTAATAACCAATAAGTTATAATCAACAGTCCACGGTAATACAGTAATATAATATTATAATATAACATAATACTATAATTTTTAATATTATCTTAGATTATAATATCATTAATAATCTAGATGATAAACATGCGACGAGTAACCTCACGCATGCGCAGATCAAGCACCTAATCAAGAGACTCGTCACTGATATCGGCAAAAACTTTTGCATTTACATAATAAGCCGTGGCTCCATCCATAGTATATTATGTTCTAAGCATGACGCCATCACTAGGAAATAGCATTTGTTAAAATGTTATTTTATGCGCATTTCAAAATGGGTATTTGTTAATCATTACACTGTTGTCACCACAGATATATGAACATATGTTTGTTTTAACATACGTATGTTTATATATCTGTGGTTGTCACCGACTATACCAAGGATTAAAGAATTGATTACAGCTCAACTTTAAAACCGATATGGTTACCAGTTGTAACCGTAGTTGGTAGTTAGTAGTTACTAGTTACTATGCCCTCGCACGAAACGACCCACTGCGTAACTTTCTGTGAATCCGGCTTCACGTTATCATGGTGTAATGGAAGTACCTAAGTATAGTCGATACTTAGTACTTGATCGTGTACTTACGAGCTACAAGTTACACTCTCAATTCTCACACTCACACTGAGTGTCACAGCTTATTGAGCATAGACCTATAATCTAGATTCTGGTTATTAGTTAATATTGGTGTGTTTAACCTTGGTTTTATAGCCATTATATATTATATTTTGAGCTTCCAACACATCAACGAACACTAAACAGCAACGAAGCGATTTTGCTAAACATCGCAGAGCCAGAAGGTTATCGATAGTTATTCCATTTGAAATTGTCATGGATAAGGTCTTAACGTGCGTGGCGCCCGTCAACATAGCTGTTATAAAATACTGTGAGTTCTTACCCGTTATTATGTCACCTTTTCTGTCCAACATTTCATAGTTATTTTTCTGTTTCCGCAGGGGGCAAAAGAGACGAACATTTGATATTGCCTTTGAACGATTCAGTTAGTTTGACATTGGACTGCGATCAGGTGAGTATCTACTGAACATTTGTATCTGTATATTTGTATTTGAGTATACCTGTGCAACCACATAATTTCTTAAAAACAACAGAGCCGTTCTTTTTCCAAATTTTTTGAGCCTTTGAGAGAAATTTTTCTCATCATCATACCTAGTTTAATCTATGGACAAAATAACACATCATAACAAAACTATTTTCTCTTGTCCAAGGACTCAAAAATGTATTTAATATAAAAAAAAAAAGTAAGTATGTACCTATATTATATTCCTTGATTGGAAGTGTTAGACCAAAGATGTAGACACTATCCTCAAAATTGTCGTATTTCATTTTGGCTAGAAGAAGTGTTAATTTAACATTTTTTTTCTAGATGCACACCAAAACATCTGTTATTACAGGACCATCGATAGATGAAGATAGTGTTTGGCTGAATGGGCAGTAAGTAACTTACTTCTGATATTTTTCTATGAAGTGGTTATACTTTGAAATTGACACCTGTGAGTTAGGTGATAGGTAGACTCTCTTTGATAATTTTTTCTTTAGATTACCTTATTTATTGCCTTATTCAACACGTGCATCTCATTATGTAATAACTAATAAGCATTAAATTATTATCATAATAATAGAGAATTATGCTTCATCTAATATATTTTTTATAATTGATAATAATTAATTGGATGATTATAATATTATAGGATTATGTCCATTGAAAGAAATGAACGTCTGAAAAAGTGCTTTGATATAAGTAAGATTGTATTTTAAGAACATTAATTAATACAGAATTAAAAATGTATTTGTTGTTTCTTTGTATTACCTTTAGATTATATGATATATATTAAGCATTTAAGCTACATTATAGTTTTTACAAACTGTTTTTTGTTTTTCTTGAACATTTGTTTCAATTATAATTGTTTGATTGTTAGGCCTTAAATTATTTTTTAATCTTAATATTCTTATGCACCATTTAACCAATGAAAGTATTTTATTCTAAAACAATTATTAGTTTTTGAATTTTACTTTTTCCACAAATAGTAATATACAGTTAAATATTATCAGTAAACGCAATAAAATAAGATAGGTTGATTTTGATTGACATGAAAAATAAGTTTTAAATAAATAATTTTTTTTTTTCAGTAAGAAATTTAATTAAATTACGAAAAGGCGAAAATAGTGAAGAGGAAAAGTGGAAAATAAGGGTGTGTTCTGAAAATAATTTCCCTACTGCAGCAGGATTAGCTTCATCAGCAGCTGGTTATGCATGTCTTGGTTTGTATATTTATTTCCATAAGTGATGACAACCTAAAAACGTATAAATACTTAAATTAATATTTAATATTCTTTAAAAATATTTAAATAGTTTACACATTAGCTAATGTTTTTGGCTTGGTTAATGAAGATTTACCATCTATAGCAAGACAAGGTAGTGGAAGTGCCTGTAGGAGCATTTATGGAGGGTTTGTTCAGTGGAAAGCTGGTGTTGATCACCAGGGTGATGATTCAACTGCAGTTCAAATTGCTGCTGACACACATTGGCCGGAAATGAGAATTATTATACTAGTGGTAAAATGGGCTTCTTATACCTACTGATTAAAAGACACACTAATCTACCTTTTAGTTTGCAATGTTGATTTAAATTCATAGTTATAATTTAAAACTGAACTTCCTATAAGTGAATATAAAATCATATATTCACACCCATAGTCGCAGCCCCCCACTGGTTGTTAATACTGACCATTATAATCATTAGTACTAAACACTACCATTCAATATTTTACATTAATTATTATAGTCCATCGTGTCCTTTAAATACTATAGCATATTTGAGGTAATATTTATTTGTTTTATAATTTGATAACAACTACCACTTTTTGCCTGATAAGAACGGCTCATTTTTCATGTTCAATGTTCATGATTAATAAATTATACAGTAATATTATGATTTCAACCTTACTCCACATAGATTATTATTTTTTAATTAATTGGCCTAAAATTGCTTCCAAGTTTAGTATCACAGCATTAATGTAGTACACCTAAATAGTATGCAAACTTTTTACTAATTTTACTTTTAAAACAATTATAGTTTATGTTTTTAATTATGTTGGGTTAGGTAAACGATTCTCAAAAAAAAACTAGTAGTACTGTGGGAATGAAACAAGCAGTACAAACTAGTGAACTACTTAAGTACAGAATTCTTAAGTGTGTGCCCGAAAGAACAAAAGAAATCATTCAAGTATGATTATTTCCTAAGTATTTTTTTATAAGTGTAAAAATAATATATTTTTGGTTTTTAGGCCATAAAGGATAAACAATTTGAAAAATTTGCCGAAATTACAATGCGAGACAGTAACCAATTTCATGCTGTTTGTTTAGATACATATCCTCCTTGTGTTTATTTAAATCAAGTATCACATGAAATAATATCTTTTGTTCATGATTACAATGAAGCTATTGGTCAAATTAAAGTAAATAATTATAATTTTAATGTGTTATATATATCACATCTTAAAGTTGTATTAAGTCTTATTTTATTATTATAGGTTGCCTATACATTTGATGCTGGTCCAAATGCTTTTTTATTTATTCAGGAAAATGACCTGAGTTTGTTTATGTCGGAATTGGTTAATGTATTCCCAACTGAGCAACCTAATTCTTCATATTTAAGAGGAATCGTATCAACATTGCCTAATAATGTTTGTAATTTAATGTGGCACAATTATATGTTACATCTTTTTAACTGTACATTTATTTTTTGTTTCAGATAAAACCATATGGTTTTAAATCCAAAGATAAGAATCTTTTAAAGTACATCATGGTCACTAAATTAGGAAGTGGTCCGAAATGTGTTGATGGCCATTTATTAAACAGTGATGGTACTTTGAAATCAAAAATTGAATCAATCGATTGAATTTGAAATTTTCTAGATTTTTAATGTACTATTATGCATGTTTCTAAGGGAATATTTATTGATGGTGTCAGATCTGCAACTATAGTTTTTTATATGTTTATAATTTATTGGTTTATTATTGCAGTTAAATATTTACATTTAAGAATTATAAATTGGCCTGAATATCATATAGTTTATTTATTATACATAATAATAATAATAATAATAATAATAATAAAATATTTTGTAAACAAAAAATATAATTTAGTATAAGTTTGATCACTTCCTCTAAGCAAAAGCTCATGTCGAAGATAAAAAGGTCTTATAACATTAGAATAAAAATAAATGTACATTTTAATAATAAGATCAATGTATGTGTTAAGCCTCTTACACACTTAATTATAAATGCTGTATTTTTGGATAATTAATTGGATATTATAATTTTTATATTTAATCACTATATTTTTAACTTGCATTGGTTTATTTTCTCAAAAACTATTGTACCATTTCAAATCAAAAGTTACACCAATAGATTCTTGCTGAAACTTAAAGGGTATTTATAGTTTATTTTTAAAACTCCCATACCGAGATCGCTAAGTAGCTTAACTGTAACTCACACATGCATATTTTTCAATTCAAGAAAAAAGAATTTTCTGTTTCTTTATTTATAGAATTGCCATTTGTATATGTAACTATTATAATTAGTAGAAATATGGCATATTTTTTTACAAATATATTTTTTTTTAAACTTTTGAATGAGCAGCACCGGGTGGGACAATTAGAACAAAAATAGTAATACCAATGTACAATGTGTTTATTTTGCAGTAAACAATAAAAAAATTATCATTATTTAATTTAAACAGTTACAAATCTAAGAAAATCAATTTTTTTAATAAAGTGCTTAAAATTATAATATGCACTTGACTACTCTACAACCCTCCCCCTTTCAGTATTAAATAATATCATTATTAATTAATAATTTTATTTTTATTTAGAAAATAATTTTTTTTACTTTGGTAAATGTAGTTAAATGAGGTTACCCCATCAAATTAGTTTGTACCTTGGAGGTGAATAAGAGTATATATACGTATGTAATACATAATGTGTGTTAATATAATATTATGATGTATAACTAGCCTGCCACAAATGTCTGTATAGGGTTATGATAATAAGCTAAAATTATTAAAGTTTAAACTAAAATGCAAAACAAATTGATTGCAAAAAAACTATTTCTGAGTGCAAACATTTTCTAAAATATGTCATAACAATATTTATTTTCTTTTTATACTTAGTAATTAGTATTATGCTTATGTAAGCAAGTTATTTTTATTTGTATATGGTGGTATTAGCATATTTTTTTACACAAATGTTCAACGTTATCTATATTAAGATCCTAAGACAACCAGGTAATTTTAAAATGACATATAATCATGTATATTTGTAAATCGTATACTCTGTCTTAAAAAGTCAAAACTCAATGATCACACTTAACACTAGGTCGTGTGACGAAAATTAGTCGGCCGTCTGGTTATTCTCTTTTGAGTAGAGTATAGTTGCTTATAATAAATATATTTAAATGAAAATTAAATAAGTACATATATTTAACTATCTAATAAGTTTTCATCTTTAAAGCATATTCTAAAAACACGTTACAAATTAAAAATGTATTTATTTAAAACAAGTAATAACAATATAATATAGATATTTTTAATTTAAAGATACAATTCACCAGTTAATTAAAACATTTTCATCATTACATATTAAGCGATTTATGTCGATGGAATCAACAATATCTTTTTCACAATTGAATAGCATCAGTGGAGGCATTGAAACATATTGTATATTTTAAATATTTTTACCACAAATTGGATCCAGGCATATTTTGAATAATACATTATTGAATTTTATTACATAAATATGACTTAATGATTAATAAATATTGTTTTGCAAAAACATTTGTTCAAAGTTTTATATTAATTGGACAAGAATGGAAAATGAAGATTCGAAAAATAATGATTTTATTTTTTTTGTTTTAATTCAAAAATATTATATTTCGTGTGTTCCTGAAACTTTTTTAGTATATTATTATATAGCATATTGTATACTTAAAATGCATGTTCAAATGCAACTTTATAGAAAGAAAAATGTTTTTTTAATTTTTATTAGTTTTCAACCTAAAAGTTATTACAGTCGGCGAAAAATAAAAAATTTAACCAACTTTATTACTTATGTCTTGTGTAACGTCCGATAGTTTTTATGTATTATAAATTATTTTAATAGCAATGGTATCATAAAGTATACTTAGGGCCAGTTGTACCTTCTCCGATTAAAGTTAACCGAAGTTTAATCGTCCGAATTTGGCCGGTTATAAAATCTGTTAAGCGTAATCGAAGTGTAACGGTAAGCTGGACCTTTGTAATATAAGTTGAATTAAAATTTTAAATTTAACACATCCATAAAGTGACATCTCTATAGACACTTACTGTGTTTAATACTTAAGAACTGAATTATCGTAAAAAAACCAACATACAAACTCAAATAATGTCAGCATCATTGCTGAGCTTAAATTTGGTATGTTACGCACTTGTAAGACTGATACAACAAACGCCTGTGTAACGTCATCTTAATTAATTGTAATTAAAAAAAAAAATATGATACCTTTAATTTTTGTAGGAAGGTTTAGGTATCAAACTGTTGTTAAAATACTGTATCAGTGTGAATAAAAATGCTTGCACATGACAAGGTTCCTGAGTATTTTAATAAACACATTATTATGTACTTCATTATATATTATAGTAGGTAAAAGGTACTTTATAATGAATTATGTGAGAATTATGTGTAGAAATGTGTAACTAAGAAAGTTACTAAGCTTATTGCACATATGTTTCCTAAATCTGTATGATATATTGATGAAACAAAATGTATAACTAAAAATATTTTCCTTGTAAAATATTTAATAGTCAAATTCTTTAAATATGATTAACAATTAAATTATGCGCATATTTAAATGTGTTTTGGTATTATTATTATAGTTTGGAGGAAATGTAAAATATCGGTCACCTACAAATTACAATAGGGAAAAAATGTATTGTTGTCATAACTAAAATAAATAAATTAGTATGTTAAACATTTTAATACTTATTGCTTTTTTATATCTATTTATAGTTAGCAAACGATACATACATTCTTCACAAATGGGATATAATTTTGCTTACCTAGCGAATATCCTGTGCTTTAAACCTACGTACAATTAGTCATCAAAAAACGAACATTTACTATAGGTTAGGGTAATTTAAAAACCATAAAACATTGATTACAAATTACTACGAATTGCAACTGGAAATAAATGGATTGTTGCCATTAATAAAGAGTATATACATTAATATGTTAAACATTTTAACACATATATTATTTGTTAAATACCTATGTATAGGTAAACCAACAATAAATACCATTCTACACAAACGGGATATTATAATTTTTGGGTACATACCAAATATCTTGTTCTTCATACGTATCTTCAAAATTAAGTCAACACTAAACGTGATCTGAGAATAACGAAAAGTACTTGGACAAGTCTAGACAAAAGTAAACGACCATAATTAATAGGTGCCTATGGATAATATATAGTTCGATGATGATTTCTACGGGTATAAGTAATGCATTGAATAATAGTTAAAAATCTATTCTATTAGGTACAAGATGTTGCTGATGCAAGTAACGGAAGGATCGTAGCAAAAATGAATATATAGTATATTCAGTATATATATTGTATATATAGTATAGTATACACACACTATTTAAATCCACAACAAATATTAAGCTCAAGCTAACACCTAAACATCTAATTTAATACATAATATTCGTTTAAAACATAATATTACTCATGCAAGTATAGGCACCTACTCTTGATAAAAAAATCTATTTAAAACGTACGTCTAAAGTGATAACTTTTATAGTTCGTTATTTAGTTTTTTTCCAATTAAATTAATTTTGGTAATTTGAATTCAATATTTTGTGTTAACATTTTTATTTTTGCTATAAAAAAAATGTTTATAATATACATCTATTATAATATTTATCTAAATTAAATATTTATCTTATTGGCTGATTCTCTAAGGTCCCTGTTAGTTTTTCAGATATCTTTTTTATATTTTAAATTTAAAACGCCTTTCTAGTAATGTATACATATTATATATTTTTGATATTTGGATAATCCAAAATGAATAATGTTGACACCACCCAAAAGAAAATAGATAGGTACCTATATTTGTAATTACCATTTTATATCAAATATAGATGAGTATACACAAGACAGTATACTTGACGAAATAAATAAAGTATATTTGCACTGCAAAATACTCTGATCTGGTTGGTAATCGGTCAAAAAGTATGGGGAAAACAATTTCATGAACAAAAAGTCAGTTATGAAAAAAGTTGGACAAAAAATCCGAGCACAGTTTTTTGAAGCACCAAAAGTCCGAAAGTACAAAATACTCCATTACATTTTCATTTATAATTACCTATATTATACATAGATATTCCATATATAGGTATAGAATTAATAATCATTTTAAAAATATAATTACTATTATTATTTTAATTTAGTATTTACTATATAAATACCTAAAATACCTATATAGATTACTAATTACTATACAAACATCGTTCACGACTATACTAAATTAAAATTACCTTATTAATTTATTATAATATTAAAACGAATTGCAATTTTTAAAGAAAATTTATTACTTTTAATATATAATAAATATTATGTATTTTATGTACCGATATAATAAATTATATGTAATTATTAATAACAAATGAATTTTTTTTTGTATTTTCGCCCTTTTTGTCCGACAGTACAACAATGAATCCTGACTTTTGTCCAACTTTTTTCAAAATTTACTTTTTGTCCAGTAATCGATCTAGTCAACTTCTGAATTTTTAGACTGTATATCCTACATACCAAATATAAAAATGTTGACTTGGTAAATGTTATTTAAAATTCTTATGTTAAAAATTATGTTTGTTTTTATATATATATTTCTGAGGACTTTAAATGTATTTAAAAAATAATTGTGCTTATATATTTTAATTATTTTTGAACCGATATAAAAGCAACTCGTGAGTACTCTTTCATTAAACTTTCAAGCATTTTTACTATGTCTTTATTTAAAATAATTTCAAAAAAAATTTACGAATTCCAAAAAATGTTTCAAGGATATGAATTGCTCAAAAAGAGTCAACATATTTTGAAAATGTTAACACGTATTTAAAAAGTTACTATACGTGCAAAATACCATTATAAATATTTCGTAAACTTTATTATTGCATCTAATCTATCGATTGGTCTACAAATACATTGCTTTTACACACTCGCAGTCACCCAGAAACTGGAATTCCATTAAACATATTATTTGTTTCTGCTGCTGTGATGAATATTTCAACTTTTTGATGAAAAATATCATAATTAGCTTACACATTTCCTTCTAATTTCAATATTGATAGTTTTCGTATTTTATTATTTAGATGCGATAGAAAAATACTATAGTGACGTAGTGTCTACCGTCTACACTCATCAGTCATCAGTTGCGTACGCGCTTTGAGTGTATACACGATACACTACACACTGGCTGGCGTTGTTACCCCTCATATAGATGACCACCCTAGATTTTTGGCAATCAAAAATCTTTACCACACGTACAATGCACAAATACGAGTGCTAAATCAACCGTATCCCAATACAACAGCTATTGGCCATAGTTACCGAGCTGTAGATCAATAAAAAAAGAAAAATATACATTATATCTATTTAAACAAACGATTTTATTATTTTGAACAACTAGGCACTTGGAAGACACACTGTTAAAAATTGTAATATCCTATCAACTACACCATGTCTTATTTAACTTGACGATGGTGTATAATATATACATAAGAAAATAAAGAAATAAGAACAAGATATTATGTTATTAGTGTAATAGTGTGGTTGTTTATTAAAAGGGACAATGGTTAAATTGACTATGAACTGGCAAGAGAGATGATAACGAGCTGTACGGAAAAAGACACTAATCATCAGTGCTGCTCCTCAAACATTTTTGTAATGCAGCCAACTGAATTTATAATAAATTGTTACAGTCCCCTATAATGTTTTTTAATATAAAAATCTGTAGTATTTTTTCTTAACTAAATAATATAATAAAATAAAATTTTTGGGCACATACTAAGAGTACAGACTAAAAAAATACCTAATAAATATATTACGTTTTTTAGCATACCTTTGATAGATTATAAACACTGTCGATAAAGTCTTAAATGAAATATATTTCTTGAATTCAATAATAATAATTTTCTTTTAATTATTAAATTACCGACCATTCAATTTTGGTAACAGAAAATAATATTATGATTTACGCATATAAGCATATAGGCATTTGAAAATATGTGGCTATATAAATAGTTTGAGAAGCACTGCACTACAAAATAAAATAATAATAGTTATACAAATTATAATAACAAGATACTATAAAAATACAAAATAATCATTATCAACTAACTTAACTTAATTATATGAAATATTTAATATCCCGTTAAAAAAATTATCAAAAACATGAATATTTGTTTTAATAATTGAATTACAGTTATTTCTGCGTGTATATGAAAGATCAATAGACAAGCATAAACTTATTTGGGGGTTATGGTTAGCCTCATATTCTTGTGTTAGCAAGCCTCTGGTCGGCCATACACAAAGTTATGGTGATGGTCAACAGTAATATGGTCATGTTCAAAAAGGATGTGAAATCGAGTTGGCTATTACTGCTGGTTGCCTCCACCTTGTTCAACTCTTCCATTTTAAGCAGCACTATCCGTTGACCAACTTCAGGCCATATTGGAGACCTTGAGCGAATCTGTTCTTCCACGATACTCAAATCCGATTTTCCTGATTTTATAAGTGTAAAACATGTATACAATAAAATAATAATAATAATGATAGCAATAATGGTAATGATAAATAGGTATAATATTGGCTTCACACTCACCAAAACTCTTGTATTCTAACACTTTTTTGAACGAAAAACCATCCCCACCTTCTGACAGATAACTACTGATAATTATTGTGTAATTGGCGTTTAAATCCAATTTCTCGTACATCGGCACGGCGCAATTTCCACACCTAGCGTAAATGGATTGCACTCGATCGCCACTGGGCCGACTAAAATCTATTACGACATTTAAGCCTGTTGGACGGTTCATAAAATTAGTGTTACAGTGGTCAGATTACTGAGTAATAATATTTATTTTACTGTAAATATTAAATACACAATATATTTTCATTGTTTACCTGAAACTTGTAAAAATTCACCGTTGGCTACCGTTTTACTGTAGCGTCGAACGGAGTGCTCAAAAGCTGCCCAAATGTCTGAACCCGTAGTCGTAATCTTACCTATATCATCTTGAAACGGTAGTGACGATAGTAAATCACCAAAAGTGATGTTACCTTAAATACATATTACAATCATACATTATAATATGCTCATTTAAAGATGAGCATATATGAATTTAATTACTTCTATTTTGTTCCTACTTAAAGATTACCTCTTTTATTCATATTATTCATGTTTGTCCGTATTCCACCAGCTTGTAACAATGCTATGGGTGCGTCGGTCCAGTATTTGGTCAAATCAAACGATTTAATATTGTTTCGAATATTCTGTACACAATCCATTTAATTAATTTTTTTGTTTTGATTTTTAATATTATTTTTTATTGCTCACATAATCTACAAAAGAGTCCGTTATGAAATTTCCCAGGTTGCATTCTCTGAATCTACAGTATTCATTGATTCCTTCTAAGAATACGCTCGTTGAACCAATTACTTGTTTAGTCTTGTCCTCGATCACTTTGTTCATGATTTTTACTTCGTTCAATAGTTCGGAATCTATAACAATATAATATAATAATGATTATCGTATATTACATTTGTACCTGCAACGTTAAAAAGTACTACCTAAACAATTTAAAAAAAAGTTATGTCCGTCAAGTTGGATACGGATTTTGAAGTGTTTGAACAAAGTGTCAATGCAAGGTCAAGATAACACTGACATAGTGAAATAATTATTTACGGAGTGGAACAAAAATGAGCAAGTAGCAAATGTGTAACAAAATATAGATGTATATTCTGAGGTAAGGTTAGGTTAGCTTAATTGAGTGCCGATGCCGACCTTTTTTTAGTTTTTTTTTCTGTACACGTATATGAGTATGTTCGTGTTAAATTTTTATTGCTAAGAATTGAACATTTAATACAGCGTTGTCTAAAAATAGTTCATACTCTAACCAAACAATTTAAGAAATTATACACACAATTTGTTTTATATGAATTTCAAGTTAAAATTTGGACGAAATTAAATATTCAAACTAAGAATAGTAATTTTAATTATTTTGTTGTAATTTAAAAAGATTATTCTATTCATAGAGATTTAAAATTATGAATACACTTATACACCTATATAATTATATTTTATATACAAAGAGACATTTTCAAATACTACGCTTCTGCTAAAATTTATATAATCCAGAAAAAAGTGTGTAAGTAATACTATATATATCCTAACTCATTTGCTCTACAAAATGTCCAAAATGATTAATACTCATAATTAATATTGAATTTTATCAATCTATTTTTATTGTATTTATATTTTTTTTCTCCAACAACTGTCCAACTTCATCCATAAAGAAATATTAGTTACTAAGGTAAGTTAAAAAGCTTTTTTGAAAGTTTTGCAACTTTGTAGGGCCAAGTGGCCAACCTCACTTTCATCTCTACATGACGTTACAAGTAAAATATTTAAGAACAATAAATATAATATTATGTAGATTATAGTATTTTATACCTTGTCCGATACTGTAATCTAATAAAATCGGGTTTCCATAACTTTTCACAACTTCACCGGCTTCATCAAATTCCAGCCACAATTCACCCAAGTATTTGGTACCGTAATATGCATGGATGACAGGCACCTTCCTTTTGGTGTTTGGTTGTTCCACCCAAAGAGGATATGGACCAAAGGGCTCATCGATATCTGGCGGATCTCCTACAAAAAAATAATAGACTTTTATTGTCATAATATTATAATTTTTACGAACTGCGTGTCTGCGTATTATAATGGCCTACATAAGTACCAATATATTAATGCGAATGTATGCTATCATAAATATTTCAATAAACATTATAGATTATTGGCTGTTCAATAATTCCAATCTGATTATCAGGATGAATGATGATGGCATAAAGTGGTTACTCACTCACGGTAAATATTTATACTGACCCAAATAATACAATTTGTATATTGATGTATATTAACTGGTGAATTAGTAGCCCAATATAAAATACTGAATGAACATTTTAGTGTAGTTTTTTAATGAAATTTATGACAAATCGTCTTCCCGGTTAAAATGGTTTTCAAAAATGATTAAAAATTACGAAAATAGCCACTTTGTAAAGTTAATAAATAATTAATACCACGTCAGAGACGGGAGGACATGGTAAGGTGCTAAGGTGAGATGTGGGAGAGTTAAGGAGGTTCGAACTGTAGGGTACAAACATTAGGTAGGGAAAACTGAAATCTAGGTTGTATGTCGGGATGGTCCTAGTGGATAATTTCTATTTTCTATAGAAATGAAGAATGAATTATACAGCATAATATTAAAATAATAACATACATATAACACCACAATAAATATTACGTATATTCACCCGTGTATAAAAACGTATGTGAATGTCCACCAATCACCAAATCGATGTCCTCTATATCCCTGGCTATCTGTGTATCCATTACTATACCAGAATGTCCCAGCGCTACGAGAATATCCACTCCGTCATTTTTCAGACGTTTTGCCTCGGCCGCAATCGATGGAATTTCGGGCAATATTTTCACGTGGCCCACTAGTGATATCGCCTTAAAATATACGAAAACAAAATATGCGTTCTAATCAAAAGTCCAGTAGATAATGTTCTTGTTTGTTAATGTTTAATGTGCTATAATTCGCAGGACGTTTAAGAAAGAAATTCAAACGTAAAAATCAAACAAAAATAGATATAGCTATACACATTTTATGTTTATTCTTTGCAGGTAGATTGTAGACTAATGCTTAAAATATGTATTCATCCTTATACAAAACAATATGATAGATAAGATATTATTTTATTAATTTTCATGTGTAAAATATGTTTATAACCACTGCAATTGATGACAGGGATAACTGTTTATGTATTTGTATTTTAATAAATAATTAAATGTATAATTATATTTTTACACTTCAAAAATACATAGAGCACTTAAAAATCAACAATACTGAACAATAATATAAGATATCCACCTAAATATTGGCCTCAAAAAGTGACTCAGGTACGAGACATATTAATGTGATACTTTGAAAAATGAATTGTTTACATTTATTTTCACTTGCCTACCTAGTAGTAGTATATACAACCACGACTGCTCGTTTGTGTTTTAGTATAATATGTGTAAAAGGCGAGGAAAATTTAAATTGATGTATACCATAATTTAATTTCAGTATTAATTAAATATGTAGTCACAGATGATTATTCGAAAACTGTAGCCTAACACTTTTAGGAAATTATTTTTCAACTCATTAGCTACATTTAGTAATATCTGTGGACTGTGACTCGCCACACATGTATTTTAAACGGGACTGAAACTAAAATTACTACTTAAATTATCGGTATAATAAAATATAAATATAATTCAATACCAAGTAATTAGTAGTATTATAGACTATAATCGTAGTATTAAAATAATCAGTATTTAAGGTTTGTATCAGTACAATATAATATATAAAACTAATTTGATAATTAAGTTATTACTTATTGCCTATGTAGTTAATAGCTTATGACTATCTAAATAATTATGTATATGAATAATAATTAATTGTATTGTAGAATATTATTATTAAGCTATTAAATATGTGGCGGGTATTAACCAATTAATAAATATATACCTAATTGTGTATAAGTACACTTTTTTTTAAAACCCATGACTAATTTTGTTTCGAGTATAGGGCATCGAGTATCAAGTATCAAGGATCTAAAATTTAATTTAAAATTTAAATTAATATTTAAATTTAATTTAATACTTAAAATGTAAGTATCTAGTATCTAGTACCTTGATACTGATTTTTGAGTATCTTGCCCATCCCTATCAGCATATAAAAATATCATGGTAAGGTTTTTTTTTAAGTTTAGTAGGTTTGTATATTGGTAGGGAGTAGCCCGTGTTTTTTGTATGTGTGGCAAAGATTTGTTGCTAAAACCCGGATGGTCACTCATCCGAGAATTAGTAACGTCGACCGGTAAGTATGCTATGAGCGTTTCCGCAGATTAAGCGTACGACCGCTTCTCGTCAAGCCACATGTTGAAATTAATATCCAATTAATATACAATAAAAATTCCAAGAAGAAGAAAATTATTATTTAAAAATCTAACAAACTAAAACTAATAAATAGGTTAAATACACCTATTGGAAATTAGCATTACCCTTCAATATACCATCAAACATAAATCACTACTCACAAGTATCAATAGAATAATACATTTTATATTATAAATGAAAAATACAAGTTTAAAAACTGACCTGATTCTCATAAAAAGTTAAAGAAAAAAAACTACAACATTGAAGTAAAAAACAGACTCAATACTAGGGCCGAATTCTGGTGTATTTGTTCAAAAAATAATACTGAGATATAAGTTCTCATCAACTAATAAAATCTAATCTCTTCCAATAAAAAAATATTTAAAAACGAAAATAATGAATAACTTCTAAGTTCCCACAAGCCATTGGAAATTTATATAATACATAACACTGTAAAACACTCTGTATTATCGGCCGTTGAATCAAACAGTGACATACTATTAACACCACACCCAAATACTAAATAGCACCAACTGTCAATGTTGACCTTCAACACAATCCTGCATTATTAAAAAAAATAAGATCTACATAATATGTATAGAAACATGTCGGTTGTTCTTAATAATGTATAGAATTAATACCAGGTGAAATTGCCGTTATAGACACAAAACAAAGAATGATACAGGAACAGTGAAACATACCGACTTCATACTTAGACATTGTTGTATGTATAATACATAAATACTAAACGATATTTCTAACACTATAATAAAATACGCAGAGCTCCTAAAAAAGCAACTACGACTGAAAAATAATATAAAATGTAGGTACACGTTTACACTGGCCTCAAATAGTGACTCAGATACAAGACAAATTCCAATGGGCAAGGTACCATCACATATAAAATATTATGCACTATATAATATGTAATGTGTTGTCACAATAATTTCTTATTCCTTATGCTTTCGTTTTCCCTCCTGTATTCAAGAACATGAAAACCTTTCTTCTCCCCATATCTTCTTCACTCCCCCCCCACACTTACATCCATGTTTTTTAGTATTTATTTCACTACAGCATATTAAACTCCAATAGGATACCTAAATAATCAAACTTCATTGCTGTTCATATTATGCCAATGCGATTTACAATACAATAATTTATATCTTGTTTTGCACGGTTGTCGTCATGGTTATAATAAATATATTATTATCCACTATGATTCTCCCACTATCTTTCGAGAGCCACAAGCCCGGCAGCCAACCAGCCACACTGGCCAATGGCAACAATCATAGACATAAGTAAATATAATGTATACACTCTAAATACACATCTTAACAGAACATTTGGTATGAAAATGCGTGCACAAGATGGATTTTAATTTGTTTCGGCTGTTCTCAAAGCCAAAGCGTACGTCTCTCATTCTAATTATAAAAATTACTAAAACTTTTTTAATATGTCTGGCACGATCATGCTTCTCGATTTCCAAAGCAAATACTCCACGTCGATACTCTGTAGTCGCTAGTCGAGCTCATGACAAGCGAACGCTGATTCCAGCTATCCCAGTAACCCCACTGACCAGTAGCTCTCAATATTTCTTGTTTTCTACCCCCGAAATACGCCTGTGGGCTTCAACCTGTGTCTACAGTACGTAACCCACACGCCCTTAGATGATAAATAAATGAATATGGTATGGACAAAAATGTTGATTCAAATGTTAAGTTAGAGACTAGGGCAACTTTTTTCTCTATCCATAACACGTATTTTATATTTTTATACAACATGTAGATTGTAGATATTTCAAAAAGAGAAAATGTGTGGGTAATTGATTTTGAAATGTCTTTTTCGCTTTGAGTGGAACTTGGGTCTGAATACAACCACACTCAACACAGTCGACAGATAATGGTACCAATACATTTTTAAGTATTTTGTAATTAAGTGTTAGGTACGTAATAATAAATCAAATAATTTGAAACATTTTTTGATATTATATAAGCCCTCCAACGTCCACCGTGGCACCGTATGATACTTTGCATTATTTTTAGTTATTCAGGCAGTTCTTAAAATGTTCGGTTTACATTCGTCACGGTATAAGTAATATTGAAAATAGGTACTAATAGTTTCCTCTTAAAATGTACAGTTTCAATATCATTGCCGTATTGGGAATATATAGTCTAGCTGTTTGCATTATTATACACAATGATATTCCATAATACGATTTCAATACAGAAAAATAATTTTAAGTTTCCATTTACCAACGAAAATTTTGAAATTAGAATTTTCAGAATTATAAATTAATTTAAGAGGGACGATGTCAGCACAATATTTGTTTTCTATCTCAGACTCAAGCGTAACATAATACAAATAAAATGCTTTCGAGTAAATTCGTGTTTTATGATTTTTGACTAATCCTAGAGAACAATCATCAATTTTAAATAATATTAAGCAACTACGTACGAAATAGATACATCGCCTTTACCGGAGCCAAACAGCAAACTGGTTGGATTTATTAACCCATAGGTATTTGTAATTTATATTATTATGACTTCAAATTATAAATTTTTCCAAAATATTTTTGAGATCACATGAATCCACCAAAAATAATTGTTTAGAGATAAATGAATCAGAAGAGATTGAAGAATTTAAAAAACAAAAATTATGTTTACCAAAAATACTAAAATGTACGCTATAATATAATATATAACAAGACCTAAGTAGTTATACGTGTATTTGTAATGGGTATGTGTAGATAATACTTACCGTTGTCTCCGGTGTCAAGTATCCGATAATTCCAATTTTACGACCTTTCATCGTCAGAACTTTTGATTTCATCAAGTTCGGCTCTTCAACCAATAACGGTTCGTTGGTTAGGTCGAGATTACAAGCTACAACTGGAATGGTTATGTTTCGTATGAACAGAGCTACGTCTTCTACACCGTCGTCGAATTCGTGATTTCCTAAGCACTGTAACATGTTATGCTTCACAAATGTAAAGTAACAATAATATACTACCTGCCTATGGTAATTTATTAGGTATTCATCATTATAGTTTGTACCTACTATTAGGAATTGTAATTAATTAATGTTCACATAGTTTTTGCATGGTCTACAAAAATGTCGAGCAATACATTATTATGTAATATTATGTTTAATAAGAAACACTTCTACTTTGCAGATTAATAGTAAGAATATTTTTCTCAATAAAATTTTTTAAGTTATAATACTAGAATTTATAGACATAATTGCATAATATTATACTATTTTAAGTACTGGAGTTAGAAGTTCAAGGTCTACTCGATTAAAGTAGATTAATTTGCTCGTGACGAAGGTTTTTATTTTTATCTAGGGTTATAACAATTAACAAATAACATTTTAATGAATAATATATTTCCTACATACCATTATACTTAATATCCACGTTCCATACCATATTTTTCATTAAGAAAAGCATTCAATTATACCTGCCTAGTTATGAATAATACTAAATCATTTTATTTTCTAATCTTTGTAGGACCATGTATATTATTGTTATACTTACATTTTTAATATAACATATTAATGTGTAAAAAATTCAAAGTTCTAAACAAAAAAAGGAATACATGTAAAATATTCGGTGGGCGAAGATCGCACGTCCGTGGTTTTGAGTGGGCCTGCAGGCCCAGGATTTTCCGTTTTCAATAGTGGTGGTCAAATTATTTTTTCATGAGGAGGGAAGGAGGTGGCTGATTTTTTAATATCCAAAATTTGATCATTAAAAATTAAATTTAAGGTAAAGATAAGATTTTGATAAGATCATAAATATTGCAAAAAGGTTATTGGGGGTGAGGGGGGATTAATTCCCATTTTTGGCATCATTCCACCACGTTATACCACCACTTCGACCACATATCAATCATGAGCACTCACCATGACGTCGATGCCTAGTTTCCGGACCATGCGCTCGACGGCCTGCCACTTGAGTAACGTGTAGAACGCTGTACCCTGGAACGTATCGCCGGCGTTGAGGAACAGCGCGCTGTCGACGGTGCCCTCGTCGGCATGGCGCCGTTCCTGGTCGACAGCCGCCTTGAGCCGCGCAAAACCTCCGTAGCAAGGCTGGCTGTCCACGGAGCATTCTGCACCGGTCTCGTCGATCTGGTCAAACCGAGAGTGCATGTCGTTGGTATGCAACACGAGCAGACGGTAATGAGTGGCCACAGCGTACTGCAGCAACATGAACAATATCACCATCCGGAACACCCGTAGCAACTGCAGGCTAACGTCCATTTCTATAGCTCAGAACCGTTTTAATTTATAATATTAGAAATACCTAAACTATCGCGTATCGTTACGAAGACAAAATTTTTTATTTTTATTGGGCCCGAATATTGTCGAGCGGAGTAAAAGTGTTGTAACGTCGTTCGAGGTGCCGCGTGTGAGTTCAACTGGTCACATCATACAATGCACGGACGGCTGGGCGGTATCAGGATTTCGGACGACCGGATGAGCCCCTTCCCACAACACATACATCTATCAAACGTTCTCGTTTAAATACCATGCTAACGAATGATCGTGAATGTGCCAACCGTATTTGTGCCGACATCGTGGGAGAAAATTCAGAGGGATGATATTTTTAGCCATTTTATCTAAACCAACTGTTTATTGCATCAATTGAATAGTAGATCTGCTGATGTCCATAAATTCAATAATTGTATTTTATTATATTTTCATATGACAATTTGGGTTGGTGTTGGTAAATAAAAAAGTGGTAATACCAGATTGCGTTCATTCAGAATATTTTCCCTAGAAACAAGCGACTTGTTTGCATAGGTAGATTCGCAGATAGGTACAATTAAAAACCCGAAAATTCGCTGACATGAATTCCCACCTACAAATTAACGATTTGTATGAGTACAACTATAAATCTACAATTTTAACTCTTATATAGACCAAAGGCAATAATATGATAACTATTTCAAATTTCCATATGATATCAATAGAAACGATTAATTACCTAATAATGATAAATGATAATGTTCTAATGCGGATAATATGTTTTAAGTTATAAATTATAATACGTCGTAAATTAATAAATTTAAGTTCAACATTTCCTTTTAAACTGTAAAAAAATTATAACATACTTATACATGAATTAAAATTTCCACTAAATATTTATTGATGCAAAAAAAATTTAGGTCACGGACTAAAATGTACTGATGCATGATATACTAAGATATATTAAGGTATATCCTAGTCTATGCAGATCAGAATTACCCAGCGGCGGCACTTCCCACATATTCAACTAATGCACACAAAAATACATATTAACTATCATTAACTAGTTTTACTAATTATGCGAGGGAATAATTCAAGCCTGGGCGAATTTATAATAAATTTTAATTCAGTTAAGTTGAAAGAAAATATTTTTTAAAAGTGTATAGTATAGTTATGTATCCTATTATTTTTTTTTTAACTCAGTTAAGATAAAATAGCTATACGGAAACATACAATTAATTTATTAACTTAAATTTATAGTTATTTTTTATATATACCATTATTCCGAAAATATTTTATAATATACAACATAACGAACAGTGATAGCTTGAGCTTCAGTTGATACGTAAACACTAACTATTCGTTCTACCGTAGGCCCATCGTCGCTTGATGAGTCATTCTTGGAGCTTAAGTGCAACCACGTATGATTCTAGTCGTTACGTACACTTTGGTGGTTTTACCATTGTGACGCCATATGTTCACTAAACACATAAACACCTCCAAGGACTCTTGATTGTCTGATGTTTTTGTTCTGGTGTCATTTCTTTGAAAACGGAAACAGTGGATCAGAAAGTTTCCAGGTTGTGTCTCATATACTTGACATTTCAATTTTTTCGTCTTTGGTTAATCGAATTCAGCGCTCTTTAGGATGGCATTTCATTGTAAAAGGCCATAGTTCAGTCAAGGTTGGACCATTTTTGAGTTGATTTTCCATGTTCAGTTTTACCTTGACTAACTATAGCTGACTTACTAAATTTGGTAAGAAAATTTTTGAAGTCAGCTAATGCGCATCGATGAATGTGTTAACAGATAATTTCCATGGGGTTCGTAATTAATGGTCAAGTTTATTTTACAACTGGTGAAGTAAAATTGGATTCCACTAATCCACTGGGTATTTGAGATTTTTTAATGCTCCAATGGCACTGGTCATAGATGTGTTCAGCAGTTGGAAAATAGAGCTACCACTCAAAAATATAACGTTTGGTGAGTCAAACAGTTCATCTAAATGACTCTCTGCTATGTATGGTCAATTTTAATAACATTGATTCTTACTGCAACTTAACCTATCAGTGAGCATTAGATTAGCAATTAATTAGGGAAATGGTCGGTAAATATAGGTCATATTCGTTATTCTGACTCTTGAGGTTCTCAATTAAAATATAATAAATATCCTAGATGCTAAGGTATTGTGTATAGTATGGTAAATACTAATATAATGATGGTTAAGGTGAAAAGACTCCCAAATGGTTTTGGTTTTATGCATACAATTATCTAGTGGCGACTACTGAGGTACACATAGATCTTGCCTCGGACTTGTCAACATCAACGTTTATTACAGTACTCGAATGATTTATCACAAGACGAGGACGTTGTACAGATATATATAGTGACTGTGGGACTAACTGTGTGGGCTAATCAATCCTTTCTAATCTAAACTCCAAACTCAGAGGTGTCGGCTTGTGCTTACGCACATTCTCAGAGCATTGATCGATGCAAACGGAGTAATTTGCGTAGGAGGTCGCCTATGTAACTTGCCAGAAGGACAGCAGCTCTTGACACTGTTGCCTAAATCATTGCAAATATCTATGCTGATAGTTCGTTATTGGCACCAAACTACATTCCATCGCGGACCCCACGTGCTAACAAGCATCATCACAAGAATATTTTGGATATTATCATTGCTGTTCCTTATTAGTTCAGTCATAAATAAATGGACACAGTGTGTCTGCATGGCAGAGGTTCATCCTCAGCCAGTGATGGCCGATCTTCTACACTCGCGAGTGTCCGAGTGTTGTTGGTTTTCTGGGTCGGTATTGCTTCACAGACCCCCTCAAGATGACAGAGGACCGTTTACGTAAGTTCCGATATAACAAGATGAATATCTCCATCTAGGTTAGGTTAGGGATTAGGGGTAATTATAATTATGTATTGAATTTTGCTCTGAGGGGCCTTCATCTGCATCATCGTACTCCAAAAATGAAACTATAGATTTATGGTAACTGAAATATGAAACGAACATTTTTGAATAGAATGTAAATTTCTAAATATCTAAAAAAAACTAATTAATTTTAAAAACAATTTAAAAATTTTTCCATTAATAATGAACTTCGGACACACACACACATCCTTACATCCTAACCAAACCCTTTTTTTTTGTGCGGTATCGTGGCGTTAGCATTAAAGGGGCACTACACTCTGTTGAGGCGTCCTTCCCTCTAACCTATCCACCATCGTTTATTGAAAGTAAAACATTATATCACATAGTAAACATTTACATAAATATTTAAAATTTACATCATAATGAAGGGTACTGTCCCTTCTAATGGTCAGTTAACAATTGGGTAAGATGAAAATCTGTATTTCCAAATTCTCTTGTTGTCTATTTCTCTACGTCCAGGATCAATCTGAGTGTCCATCTACCCTTTTTCGCTTGGTCCCATTCAATTTGCCATTCTTTATATATGTTGGCTCGCTGCTAATGTTTGTTTACCTCCTGTCCTTCTTTGGTATGTCTGTATATCTTCTGTCTCTCCTTCACCAATAAATGAACCGGGATCATCCCTGCGGCCACCATTATCGCCTGTATAGATACCGTCCGGTACGTCATGGCCAACCATAGAGTAATTTTTCTTTGTGGCCCAGCAATGTGTTGACGTTTTTCTCGTAAACGAGAGCTCCTGCCCAAATTGGTGCTCCATATAACATAATTTTCCTTTTGCATTGTCTGGCACTTCGTACATTTGGTAAGATCTGCTGTAGGGCACTGGCGGTTTTCCCTGCTTTGACTGCTGCTGCTTCGATGTGGGTACCGCACCCAAGTTTTTTGCTCAGTTCTATTCCTAACTACCTACGACTCTCCTTTGGTTGAACTATGGTACCGTTGATCGTGAATCTTGGTTCCTTGTACCCTCTTTTCTTCGTTATCATCACACACTCGGTCTTGTTGACGGCCAATTTCAAATCATTCGTCTTCATCCACTTAGAAACTTTCTCCAGCGCCTAATTCGCTCTTTCTTCCAGAATATCTGTCGTGCGTCCAGTCACTATGAGTGCGACATCATCCACGAAAGCTAAAAGTCCGGTGGACGATTGTCCCGTTAATTCTAGTCGTAGTGTGTTTAAGTCAATGTGTAACAGGTCATCGTACATAATATTCTAAAGGGTCGGTCCAAGGATCGACCACTGCGGTACGCCACAAGTTATTTTCCTCTTCTTGCCTTCGCCATAAAGTAGGTATCTGTTGATCAAGTAGTCTCGTATAATGTTTCTTAGATACTTCGGGATTCCTTTGTTCGAAGTGCTTTTACTATGATAGCCCAATTTGCCGAATTGAACGCATTTGCAATATCAAGTGAAACTAGTGAGCAGAGCTCTCTTTGGCGTAAGGGACCCGATGACGCTACATCTACCAACTCCATGACCATTGATGTGGCGTCTTAGGTACTTATTATCAGCGGTGCTACAAGATTATGTGAAGAGGGGGTTCCTTGGGGGAGCATGTTCAACCACCTTTTTCCTCACGAACCAATCTACGTGAACGCACCGCGGACGAGGATGTTAGCGAACTTGTAACCCCCTCTCCACCCCATCATCAGCTATCACGGTGTGTGTGAAAAACAAAGTAAACCAGTTGTAAACATCGTCGTTGCTATCCTTCCGTCGACCAATCCAGTGTTGTGCAACGTGAACGATGACGCCGGCCGCTATCAAGAAAAAATCTTTTCATACGACTAGTTGAGTCGTATTATAACATCATCACTGATCTGCACAGAGTAGGCGTTACATTTGCCATTCTCGTCACCTGGTGAATCTCTATTAATTGCATTATTTGCGCATCGTATGCTGTCTTTTGCCGCTTGTGATCGTCGGAGATTAAGCTCGAGTGCAAATAAATCAACAGGCAATTATCGCCGTCGTAGTATACGAAATATATAGGTCACGGACCACTCCGCCCGTCACCAGCCTCCAACTGCATCAACGAGTTCAGGGACACCATCATACCAAATATTTTAAAAGCAATACACATATTATGTATGTAATATACAAATATGGCCTGTGCCTACAGTTTTCTGTAGCAAGACAATTGAAAACATTAACTGTGTTATAACTTATAAATCATGGTATAATGTTAAAAATTATAAAAAAGCAGTGACCACTGCTATTTAAGAACTATTGAAGCTCGAATTCTTGCATGATTACATAATTGGACGGTTTTGGTGAGAAAAGATATGTCAGTTTTAAAATATGTAATATTATACTTTATCGACTGGTAACGCTGATATTTGGCTATCTCATTTCTTAAACTACAACTACTAGCAAGAATTGTGTATAAAACAGGATTACAAACGACGTAACAACATCTTTCTGTGATTTAGCCTGTCCTTACGACAGAATACAATAATCTATTTACCTATAAATAACCTAACCTACCGTGCGTACGAATAATCAAGTAATCAAAAAGCGAACTATATGTTGCTACGCTTGCCATACACTCATTGCTTGTCCCACTGAATACCTAAATAATATTGCTTGTCAAGTATAAGGTCTATGTTTCTTGATATATTATCTATTAAGATAACCAAATAACAACAGTGCCAAAAGTCGAGAAAGCATAATTTTAAATTTTTATAAAACTAACTTATACCCTTTCTTATCAAAACCTTCCCACTATATAAATTATAATAATATAAGCTATATTTTCTGTGATAATTGAAAATTTTTATCTTTTAAGGCATAATTTATAGCAAATTTCAAATTAAAAACTTATTTATTTAAAATCAAAAAATTACAATATAGGTATTTTGAATTTAAAGTTACAATTTAGATTTTAATTAAAACGTTCAATATTTTTATCCTCATTGTTTGGGCGAAGGACCACTTTGTAAAAATAGTATTTATATTGATGGAAACAACAATATCGTTTTCAAAATTAATAGCATCAATGAATATTAAGATGATATCGGAGCATTTTTATTTTCTCTGACCCACACGCAACATAGTAAATATTTGCACAATAATGATTATGATTTAAAATCATAATAATTTCTAAAATTAGAGTGAAATGACATTATGAAATTGAAATGTTGGATTATTATCGAAAGCATTTCATAAGATTTGTAATGTATTTTAATTTAAAAGCAAATTACAAGTTTTTTTAGGGGTGGGGGGGGGGGTAGGTAGGTTGTGGGTAAACAATTAAATATTACAACTCTTTTAGATACTACTGTTGAGCAATATGTTTTAACAAAATTTGTCAATCCAGTCGTCTCAATTTCAAAACATTGGAATTTAATTTTTCTACCCTTTAGTACTAATTTGTATGAAAAAGGGGATCGATATATCACAGGCCCTTCAGGAGAGAAGGCTGGTGTGCAGGTACTCGGGTAAATAGTCAATTTATACTATTATATAAAAAAGCATATATTATGTAAATATAAGAATAAATAATGTTATAAAGTTAGATGAGATCTTAACATTGTGTTATTTATTTTACGTTTAAAAATAAATTAAGGATGTTATACCTAGTATAATATAGGCAAACAAGCCAAAATAATCAGTTTTTTTTAATTTACAGGTTAGTCGACAGCTAGTAACAACTAAATATTAGGTAATTGTACAAGGTGTTGTAATATATTTATAAATTATATTTATAAAAATTGGTCTTGACTATTCAGACTTTTTATATTATGCCTAAACCTAAATACTTAAAGTAGTAATAGAATATTATGTATATAATAGAACAGAGTATCTATGTCCCACAATCTAAAGTTTTACTTGACCATACAAATTGTCCTCGTCCTGCAATCTTGCCTGTATGGATCAAATAAAAACACAGATCGAACAATGATAGAATAAAAATAATGTTATAGGTACTTAAACATTAATGTTCAATGTGCTAACTAAAGCACCCTTAAAAATAATATTGTTTTTTAAACATATTTTTACCTATTAAATAAAATGCTTGAATTTAGATTGATGTAATCCATCTTTTTCAAAAAAGTTTTATGTATTGTCCTTTCAAATTAAATCTTGAACAATAGGACACTTAATTATTGAAAAAGGCATTTTTTTTTTACACTTTTACATCCCCTTCCATGATTTACCCAATTCAATAATAATGCTGCATGTGTTATTATTTAAACCTATGCTTTACATACTTCCGTGCAGAGGTCGACGGGCAACATTGAATGAAACAACGATGATGAAGATTATTAATAGTGGCAATCACTTATTGGTATCGGTTTCCGGTGACCAATCTACCAAACCAAGATATTTATATATTTTGAATAGACAATTATATTAATAGCCACATAGGTGGTAGACAAGGTTTTCATTTGCAAGAGCCACAACTACCAATTCAACAAATTTACCATGTTAATATTATTTAATAAGTAAAAAAAACTTTTTTGTAAACCTGTATATTTTCACGACTTTTTTTCAGTCAATCTTAACAAATCTATTTTAATGAAAAACACTGTTCTTTTAAATTAATCTATTTTTACCATATAAAAATTTTATTTTGATACAAATATAATTTAAATAAAATAAAATTTATTTCCTAGAGCATAATTATACAATTATATTAAATGCCTATATTATTAGATTGATATTTAAATTTTTATAATACAGTAAGTCTTTCTTAAAACGGAATCACTTCGTACCAACTGATTTTTCCGTTATTAAGAACTCCCTGTAATAGTTTAAATGAATTAGAGTGGAATTGATGGTGGACATAACTGGCTGGGTTGTGTCGGGCTAGTATGTGGTGATGATATCAGCAATGCTGTTGACCGTGCCAAATATCAGTGCCATTATGCCAACGGCGATCAGTACTGTGTTTCGAACAGTCATCCAAACAGTTACATTGTCCCAATATGTTGTGAACTCTATAACCACAGGCATAATTATGCCAAGCAGCGAGAAACAGAAGGCTCCAATGAGCCCAATGAATGGACCAATTGTCGGTACAGCCACTGCGATTGCCACTGTAAAAACATAACCATTCAAACATATTATTATTATAAAACAAATATCAATTATTTGCAGTTATTGGCACACTTAGAAAACATTTTTTTTAAGGGAGAAGGGGAAAATAAACTTAGAAATTGGGGATCCTCACAAAAGAGAATGCATTTCAGAAAACATTGCTTAAACCAAAAAAATTTAGTGACGGGTGGTCATTCCCAAAGAGTAGAAGCAACCAGAAAAACTAAACCTATAATAAAGGTCACCTGCATGTGTTGTCTATGTATGTATAACACAGACAGTTGGTGTTTACCAGAAGCAATTTTGCGTTATTAGCTAATGTAAGGATGAATCGTAGTGTTATCAAATTGAAAGGTAAGAATATCATATTGGGAATCTTGTAGATTTTCTTTGATATTTACATTTTAAAGCAAGTTATAAACATTTTAAAATTTAAAAGGCTAATTAATACAACGTGTTGACAAAGAGTAATTTTTTTCCAACAGCAAACCTCATTTGTACTTGAAAAATATATTTGTATTTATAATAACCAACATTCTTAGGAAATAAACAATGACAAAATATAGTGACACACAATACAGGGAAATTAAAATTTTAAAGTATTCAAAATTTAAAATCACATATTTTCAAAGGAAAACAAGAAAAAAAATAACATGTTAAAGCTTGCTTGAAAGTTACATTTATGCATTTTATATTAATATTAAGCATTACATACCAGACATGGTCACAAGAACTGTTCTCAAGACATAATTGTGATAGGCTGTGGCTTTTTCAAAGTTTTCCTTGATTTTCGTCCACATGATTTCCAAGCAAACAAAGAACTGTAGACCGTATGTGCAGAACACGGCTAAGCTAATGCATATTTTAGCCACTTGTGCAGCACTGTAAACATACACCGACAAATATTAAAATGTTAAAAGTAGCAAAGTTATCTTTATAATATTTTATAGTCCAGTTCACAACCTGGATCCTAAGAAACATTTTTTTCATTAAATAAATGTATATAAAAAAAAAATTTGTTTCACGAACAATACTGTACAGTCTATACACATTTATGTGTTCCTAATTAACAAAATTACATTTATCATAAAAATATGTGTATTCAATTTTGGCAGATGTATGCATTATTAATGCAGTCAACAGTATACAATTCTGAAGTGAGGCGTGGCATAGATGCATTGATGTGGCATTATAGATTTTATGCACAAACTTTTGGCTGTGTAAAAATGTTTAAATAGAGTGGGGAGGGGGGGGGGCATTGAAAGAGATGGGTTAAAGTAACATAGAAGTAAATTGGGTAGTTACAGGGGAAAAAATAATTTGAGATATGTAGGTGTATTAAGTTAGGTACATCATGTTATACTCACACGTCCTCAGTGGGTAGGTTTAGCGTTATACTCGATTTTGTTGCTTCACCGTACTTCAAGTAACCGAAAAAACCAAGCAGAATGTACACAATGGTCACGCCTCCCATACCAATGTTTAACATACCAAAAACTCCCAAAAAGTCCCTGGGTGTTTTCATATTGTTCTCCAATGGCATCACCTACAATAAGAAAATATGACACATGATGACAAACAAAAAAAATAATAAAATGGTCTAAGTTTAGGTAGTACAATGTCAAATACATAAATGTGATTTTGTTGACTCAAACACGCAAAAAAAGACTTCAATGCAGCCTAGCCTAACCTAATCTAACTTTATAACTTTTGTAATTTATAGGTATGAATAAATTAGTTATTATAAGTATATTTATGATAATATAAGCAAGATAATATTTTCATGCTGTATGTTGATTTTGTGCTTTTGTAAAATTATAAAATAAAAAATTCCAAAAATTTATAAGAAACAATATAATACCGTTCATGATCGGTGCAGTATCTCAATTAGTAAAATTAAAAATATTAGTCGTTATTTAAGAAAAAAGATTTGTTAAGAAACAGTCGACAAAAAGTATTATCAAAAAGTACTTTGAGCTGTACACAAAATAATTGATGTACAAAAATCACTGGTGTTTGCCCATTGGAAGTATCTTTCTTACTTTATTGTCTATGAACCCATTTTTATTTTTACACAATTTTAAAGCACTTTCTGATAATGCATAACGTACCACTCCAATGGCTTCCATGGCAAATACGGTGAGACAGAAGAATGTTGGGAACGTTTCAAATGTCCCCACGGCCGGCCTTTCTGAAATATTAGGTACATTACACAGCGTATAGTAGAATGCGACACCTAGTCCAGAGGCCATCAACAGGTTGGCCACCATAGATACGGGCGCCAAATGCTTGAGATTGGGCACGTAACTCAGCAATATAAGCGGTATCAGCAGTATCATAATGAAATACCGGATGTTAAGCTCGTAACCCATGTGGTATGTGAACAGCTGTTGAAAGTTTGAGGCGATGATCACTGTGTACACGCTACATGTTCCGAAGTATGTGACAAACAGCAGCCAGAGCACAGACTGCCTGGTTAGCGACGAGAACTTTCGAGACCACTCAGGTCCGTTGGCAAACGCCACTTCAGCCACATCTGCGTAACTCATGGATGACACTTTTGTTCGCCAGTAGAGCGTGTGAGCACATTTCACCTGTAAAAGAACAAGAGTTTAACATGGATGATACTTATACTAAACACTGAACAAAAATTTAGATGAGAAAAAAGTTTTTGACTGATAATAAATATTGCACAGAATTGTGAAGAAATTAAAGCTTATTAATAATTAAAAAAATGTGTTTAAGGCCTTTTTCGATTTAGCCCGTGAATATGGCAGAATCGCAACTAGAATTTTTGCTTTAAGACAGGTAATTAAGGGAGCATCATTGACTACTGATGACAGGTAATAGAGTCTACTGCTAACTCTTGGAAATCTGACTAAGTAAGTTTAATCCCCATAACTTTATTGGTTAAAATTTCATATGTGACTCTCCAGAACCATAATTGTTCAAAACCTCATTTGCAGTGTAAGAGCGGTTCACAAAAATTATAATTTGAATTCCCCATGGATGATGTAACTATAATTTCTTCATTTGCTGAACTTTTCTATGTGACTTTGACGCAGAGATGAAGACAATCAAACAAATAATTTCCAATTTCTAAATGGGCATTTCAAATTGTCATCGGAGATACCAAGTCTTAAGAATATTCACTGGTATAAAGATTTGGCTTAAATTGATGTATAATATACAAATCACTATTATACAGAATGTTAGCCATTAAGAACCGTCTTTAGGGTAAATTAAATATTTTAACTGCTAACTAGGGAAAAAAACCTAACTTCTGGACAAAAACTGAGAGATTTCTATTTAAACATTTATAATTCTCTAATAAGTGTGAATATTTAAAAAATGCGACTATACTAACCAGTAAATATGAGCAATATGTGCATACCAATGATACAAACACTGTTGCGAATATGCCAGTTATAAGTCCTGAGCACTGGAAAGCTAGCGGCATGGCCAATATGCCAGTTCCTAGACACGCTTTGAGTAAATGAGTCAGTGTCTCGCCGTTGCTGCAAAAATTGAAATTATTAGTATGTAATAGTGTTGAAATTATTCATATAGGTACAGGTACCCTTACCCTACGCAGAGATAGGCAGGCAGTAACTTAGATACTTTTGTATCTTGGACTTTTATCTTTTTTTCTTGAGTAAAGCTTCTATACTCCAGCTCACAAGAGATCATTACTGTAAAGCATTTATCCGAAAAGCTTTTAATTATTCACATCCCCACATATTTGACATACACTGAGTGCACAAAGTGAGGGAAACCCGTTAGTTTACATTCAAAGCGGTTATGATCTTTCGTGTGCCAGAGTACAGATACAAACAAATGAATATTTATGCTTTTTGTCTATTTTAAAAACAGAACTTAGTCTATTCTAGATAGTTATCAAATTAAAAAAAAATATTATTTATAAATATTATACTCTTATTATCATTTGATGAAATGCATCTTGTATCTTAAATACAGTATTAGGTACCTAGTATGATGTATATATCTTGAGAAAAAAAATGTATCTATAGTATCTTTGAGGAAATTTTAAATGTTCTTAAACTATCGAGAGACTAGAAGTTAAAATTTATAAATCTAATATCTTGTTTCCAAATACTTTTTCAAGCATCTTGTTCATCCTTGCCTCTATGGCACTATCTAATATACAGTTATTGAATTTATAAAATAGATTTAAACATTGATTAAATCAATAGTACCTATATTTATCAACACCAAAAATAATGATGTCATGCACTGAATTACATGATTAGTATTGCATCTAAGGAATAATGTATATAATGTATATAGGTAAATAGATAGGTAGATACTACACTGTCAACACTTACGTGGTTGGGTGTTCCAAGTTTCTGGCAAGGAATGGATCAAAGTAGTCGATGCCATTGAGACGTGTATCTTCAACCTTCTCTAAAATATTGCTTGGTTTTCTTCAGAAAGTAAGTACATAAAAGTGAAAATAAAAATATAAAATTAAATAATAATTATGAATTATGATTCTTTGACCTTTGTTTTGGTAGGGTAACAATGAAACATATTTTAGTAAAATAGATTTTAGTCCTCAATGAATAAATATGAGAATAGATAAAAATATAATATAATTTACTTTATTCACTTCTATAAAACCAATCCAGCAAAACTTGTATTGAATATCAAAACCATTTATTGAGTTTTACATCATGTAACAAAATGTCAAAAACATTTTAATATTTGAAATTAATAGAATATGAAAATCAAAAAAAAAATTTTTTTAAATCATCATTGAACAATTAAAATCAAAACGCCAAGCATAAATACACTTGAAAAGAGATTTATCTAGTTACACAATTTATGTATTATTAATCTCCATTACATATGATAATCGATAATATAATTACCAACTATTAAATTATATTGTAATCTAGCTTTAAATGTAGATTAACGACCAAATTAGCTATAACACACGCAATTTGAGAACAAAAAAAAACATACTATATTAATACAACTCACATGTTTGGCAGTATTTCTTTCATCTTGGACTTTTCGTCTAATAACAAAGACTGGAGTCCCAGTTCAGTGTCTTGCGAACCCTAAAATGAAAACAACAAACATGTTATTTATTTATTTCTCAAGAAGATATAAATTAATACAATTTTTTATATAAGATATTAAAAATGTTCAATCAAATTAGACTTAATATTTTGAACATTTCATTGTACATACAAAATCATAATTTAAGTGATACTAGTGTAATGCTTCAAACATCTACTATAAAAATGTTTTGAATTACAAAACAATAACAACAATTTTTGAAGATAAATCTTTATTATACGTTAACATCTAATTTCGTTAAAATTTTAACTTTGATTGCTCAAAAAATTGTTATGGCTTTATGTTAATTTTTAGTAGTACAACTTGTCACAGATTTTTTAAAACCTGAAGTGTTAATCTTTAAAATCGTATGATAATAAAATAATTCATAAAATTATAATAATAATAAATTAATAAACAAAAAAGCGGGTGAGTGGATGTTGATCTGCTGTACAGTAGGTTATAAGTAGGTCGCTGTAATGGATGGTGTTACATTTGAATTCAATGATATAAATTCATTGTATACAAATACGATTATTAAAAAAGACTAAAAAGTTTAACATTTTATAAACATTTTTAAATACAAAATAATTTGTACATTTTAAATTTGATACATTTTGTCAACATTTGAACTTGAAATGCTTATAAAACAAAATTGTGACTATTTATTTTCAATATTTTTCAACTGAAATTGTAACAATATATCAGGAGCGTTATATTTAATTTAACCAACAAATAATATTTTATTAACATTTATAGAAAAATAAAAATTAAAAAAAATTAATAATAAAAATGTCCGTAAACAGCTCAAAACGAGTCAAAATATTTTGAAAACTTTATTTAGACTGTCAATTGATAAAATAAACATATGGTATAAATTTCAAGTATGTAGAAATATTTGTTTTAAAATTACAACAAAATAAGAAAATCGTCACATGAGAAATCGAATGAATACTGAATATCCGATGTAGTAGAAATTTCAACTTCTAACGCTCATAAAAATTTAATTTGACTTTCCGATGAACATTTTTTTTTTTTATAAAGGTAAATAAACTTGTAAGGAATCTCATATTAAATTTTAAAATCTTAGACGTCAAAAGAAATTTTTTTATGAATTTCTAACTTAAAATAATTTGCAAATTTTCGTGATTTTAAAATTTTTATGTCAAAATTCTAAATTCAAACGCTCATAAAAAATTATTGTGGATTTATGATCAACTTTTTTTTTAATTTCCACTAACAACAACTTAAGAGGAACCTTATATTAAATTTATAAGTTTTTTAACAGAGCGAAATTTTTTTTTCGACTTAAGTAACAAAAAAAAACAAATAATAATCGAAAATATCATATGCCTATAAATAGTTCAACATGAGTCAAAATATTATGAAAATTTTATGGCGTATAGAAAATGTGGATATAAAAATTCAGTGAAAATCGTATGAATCTACAATATTTTTTTTTAGAATTACATGAAAACAATAATCGATTTTATCGAAAACATGTTTTTACTTTTGATCCCCCAAAGTACCAACTAGATTCACTTTCCTACCAGCAAAGATGTTGTTGAAAAAAAATCAATGAAACACAAAAAAACACATTATTGTTAAATCAATATACATTCATCGCTCAGCTGAAAGAATCCAAAATATAACTTACCATAATTGCGATTCAAATGGTTTGCTTCTTTTCACGTTAAAAAAGTACCTTGACTCCGTACTTATGTATAACAGCTATAATAGACTTTATTATCATACGATCACTGTACTAGCGGAGCTGTGTACTGTGAAGCGTATCTGCGGTTATATTCAAAACACGGTCTGTAAAACAAAAAGTACCTATGGTTAATGCATACGGATTCAACAAAGTGGAGAGGCTGACTGGTCAGGGAGTACACGACCCAATGAGCGTCATCGCTATTCCACCAATTACAAAATATGCATTATAAAACGGCCTTTGACACGAGCCGTACACGTGATAAAGTAATTTCGTTGACATTCTCATATAATATTTACATGCCGTTTTTTATAGTATTATATAATAATATAATTAACATAATTATTATCTGGACATATAACAGGACTGCTACACATCATAAATCACACTTATGTTGCGCTCTCTAGTCTAGACAATTTCTATCACGTATAATCTCGTTTATTTATTTCAAATTCCTAATCACTTTCTACATAAGTGAATTATAATTAAAAAATAATACCTATTAAATATTTTAAAAATAAATATTTATAAACAAATACTTATTTTGGGTTTGAGTGAAAAGATGAAAACTCCTATTTTGTGCACAAAACATATTTTATAATAAGTATTTTAAAATAATGAAAGTCTGTCAGTGTGCTCTGTGCAACTAAAAATCATCATTATACAAATGAAAACAAAATGGCATTTAACAGTCAATGAGATACGTTAAAAAATCACTGTGTATCATTCAAAGAATAACCCTAGATTATCTAAATTATTTGATACGTACAATGAGCTGGATAAAGGTATAATAATCGGCCTGTATAAAACGGATCACGCACGAGTATACCGATATTATAATGTATTATAATTTATACAATTAAGCTTTAGACTTTACGAAATACCTCTAGAGTAATAGCCATATTTGGGATGGTCTTGTTGAAGGACAGTACATTTTAATGTTTGTGGTTCGTCGCCAATGAAATTTTAACTAGTATATAGCGTGTGTGATAATCGGTCAAATAGTACATTTTGAAAAAAATGTGACAACAATTTTAGATTCATTTTTTGTTGTCGGACAAAAAGTCAGAGCACATTTTCATGGTCAGACAAAATGTCCGAAAATATAAAATATTATATATAGGTATAAACTATAACCATATATATAGTTAACATTAATTTTAAAAATGTAATTAATTTTAATATTCTAATAATTAACTATATTTTATTTAGTATATTAATTATATTTTGTTGGATTTAGTCATCGACTAAGTACTTACAGCAATTTATTTAAATGAATACATTTATTTAAAACTGTAAAACTTTTATTAGGTTACCATGTTATTTGTTAATTTAAAAAGTGTAGCATTACAACTATTATAGTTCTATAACAAAATTTTAAAAAATGGAAACATCGATTAGGTACTACAGTAATAATAATAATAATTTAAAATACCTAAGTCAATATAAACATCGATCACTATACAGTAATAATAATTCATAATATTATATGCATAATAAGTAATATATAATATTATATTACTAATAACTATTAAGTAATAATTATAGATGAAAATTTAATAGAATATTTTGAATTTTGAATTTTCGTATTTTTTGGAAAAGAAAAAAATGTATCGGGAGTTTTTGTCCAACTTTTTCAAAATGGACTTTGTATAACCGGACTTTTCGTGTATAGATAAGTAATTAATTCTACAAGGCGGATAGACCCCTTTCATTAGGTTAGGTTAACATTGTAGTTTTACATAATATAACTAGCTGTATTGCTCGGGGTTGCCCGTGTCAAAGATTTGTTTTTTTTTTTTAACATACTAAATTGAACGTTTTTTCTTGTAATATTGCTTAGGCAAATTATGACATTATTGTACTATCGGAAACGTGATAACGCTACGAGATAAACGACTATGAATTTGGTCTTCTTCCTAATTATATTGTCTTCCATTGTGACGGATGTAGGGTTCACAACAATGCTATTAGAGAAGGTAGGTAGTGTTTTAATGGCTGTTAAAAACAAATATTGCTGTTGTGTTACTATTAAAAACAATTATATTGAGCAACTACTTATAAAATTATTTTTTGATTTCTCTATACTTTTAATTGGCGCTTACGTTCTCGCATTCTCCCTAATTCTAATGTAAATATTTAAAATGATCACATTGATACGGTTCATAGATTTTCATGTAATTACAATAATGCCAAAAGTATTAAATTACGCGGTTTTAATTACCCAATGGACATTAACTAGTGTTGTAGCTGTATCTTATAACTATGGTAAAATTGAGTCTGACGCATTACCTAATTTTTCTTATCTTAATCTAAAACAATTTAATACAATAAAAATTATGAAAATTCCATTCGGCTCAATTTTATCAAACGCGTTAAATGTTGAAGTGGCATGTGAACTGTATGCATTGGTCCCAATTGATTATTTGTATCATGCTGCTATAACTAATTAAATTGCCATTTAAATATTTAACCTTTGTACTTCAATGACACTTTATTTGACTACATAAATTGTGATTATAATATTATTAGATCATTATTAGCTATTATTAATTTACATCGGTTGTTCCACAATTTGCAATTCAATGGCGTAATTAATATGTTGTATGATATTATCTTTAAAACTATTGATAGCCATTGTAGAAAAAAAACATTTTTTAATAATAAATATCCTATATGGTTTAGTTCCAAGATCATAGATGTAATTTATATGAAAAAAATTGCTCACATGTTAAAAAAACTACTTCAAAATGTTACTACAATAGATTTTCTGAATTGCATGCAAAATGTGAATCTCAATAGAAACTCGATTGGGTATAATAATTATATCTTTAACATTCAAATTTCTATTAAAACAAATCATGAATTATTTTACCATGAAAATCATGTCTATCCTTTCCAAACAGGATATTGTGGATGGTTTTGCTCATTATTTTTCCAGTGTCTATAAAAATCAGTCTACTTCAACTTCAACCACAAACACTCATCAGTCTTCCACTTACAATATTCAGTTGAAGAATATCTTAACTCGTGTATTTTAAGCATTACTGAAGTTATAAATATGTTATAAAATATCACTAATAAAATAAATTGTGGTCCTGAAATGATTTTAAGCTAACTCTTTATAAATTGTAAATACGTGTTAGCTGTTCCTTCATTACATTTATATAACTTATCTCTTAATAGTGATTGTTTTCTATCAAATTGGGAAATTAGTTTTTTAAAGCACATTAATCCAGGAATATAATGAATTATCGTCATATTTCTATTGTTTCAATTATTCTTAAATTATTTTAATCCATTGTAACTGAAAAAATATATCCAATACTTTTATCAAATTATAGCAACTAAATAATGATCAATATGGTTTTTTGTAAAAATATGTACACTTGTTGCATAAAGTTGTTGTCATTGTTATAGATTTTAAAAGTATTTAAAAAATAAATCACCATATTCTCTCAAATCAGTAGCATTTTATCAGTATTTGTGACCCTTTTTCTTCTTGGTAAACATCTTACAGAAATGATAGAAGACAAAGTGTCAAATTAGAAATTGAGTTAGAAATGTTCACTCTGATTCTTTTAATATTCCATCAGGTGTTAGACAAGGATCTTACTAGGCCCCCTTTGTTATTTATACTATTCGTCAATCATTTACATTTTCCTGATTCAAAAAAAATTACTTTTGGTTGATGATATATTTAAATACACTATCGGCTTGGTGTAATCAAAATAAAATAGCGTTAAATATTGACAAGTGCAAAGTAATATCTTACCAGGTATAGCTCACCAATTATAAACGATTATATTATAAATAATATTGTACTTTGGAGCATTTGTGAAATTTGCAATTTGGACCTTTTTGCACGTACCTCGCCTATAAATAAATTAACAAAATTCTCTAATGACTTCAAAATTGATTTATTTAATTTTCATAATTTGGATTGTTTTTGTAATTATATTACTTATTATACACAGATATATTTTTTCTTCTTATGCATATTTATTTTTTGTTTTATCTTACTATCACAATATTAATCTTATGTTTTTAAATGTTTTATGATTATTTTTTACTGTCATTCAATCAAATATAGATTTAAGTTACAAATGTAATAACTGTAGAGATTGTTATTAGGTTTGCCCCATCTAAATTAATAATAAACAAATCAATATTTTATAAGAGGTAGGTACTAGAAATATAATTTGTGTACATAAGTTGACAATATAAAAACAAATTTAAATAACTATTTGATACATGTCTAACAATACATAATACATGCAATAGATAGCAAAAGGTTTTAATAGAATCCACATAGTACATCAATATATTGTTATAAATACGATAATTTAGGTATAAGACTTTTTCATTAAAATAAAACACATAAATTATCTACTAAAGTTGCCTATTGTTTTGATCAAATGTCAAATACATGATAGATAAATAAAGTCTAATTACTCAAGTAGAACCTATGAATTATGAAATCAAGTAGGTACCTACCTAGCAGAATTAAATTAACCAATTTTTTTTCTTTCTTTCTCTCTTAAACATTCAAGTTAACACTAAGAAAAAATTTTTCAACATATGTATGCCTAATATATTGAGCACAAGTTTTCTCTGACTATGTACTACGAGTATCCTACTTATGTATTTAAGTAATATATATAATGCTATACAGTTAACCTTTTCAAAACCTATACTTCTAAACAACCAATTTTGATGATGTAAATTTGACAGTTTTTTAATTTTTCAGTATTAATTTAAAACATTTTGAAATATGTAGAACTAAAACAGAAATTTTACAAATTATGTACCTACTCACCTAGGTAGAGTAGAATATGTAAAAATATGTCTTAGTTTATTGCAAACCGTTGTGAAACAAATTTATTATGTTTTAGTAAAATTATATATTTACATATAAATCCCAGCCCTGCTTATAAGTTAGAAATACCTATAAACATTCCTTGAAAACAATACTGACAGTGCCGCATGTTATAAAGTTCCGAGTAGACTTTCTAAAGGTGAGTAAGGATGTGTGTATTTTGTTGGTAGATTGAGTGTACAAGGACATTGGAATGATTCTATGTAGAGGAAAATAATACTAATTACTAATAATACATGAATGATCACTGCTATTAAGCACAGTTCGAAATAAGCGAACATTCAGAAACATTCAATAACCATATTTTGTATTCTCATACGTACACACACACCTGAAGGTATAATGTAAAAGTTGTACTCACGTTACTAACTCAGTTAAACATCAGACATGACGGGCAATTGTACACTATTCTTTGAGCATTTGACTACAGTAATGGTACTGTACTTAGCACTATGTGGCATAGGCGGTCAGCGGGCATCCACCATAATATAACCTAACCATGTAATAATTATAATAAAATATAACGATCTATAAAATGAATGATGGATAAATAATATATTTACCAACAGTGCAGGGCAATAAATGGTAATTTCTTTAATGCTGCAATATTTTTAATCCACGAACAGTAATACAGACATACAGTAAACACAAAACTCATTCCAACTTCCAAGAGTTGAAACTATTTGAATTTTTAGCAGTTGCAATCACAATTTTTATCAAACTCAGGAAAAACGAGTGAAAGACGCGGTTTCCTTGGAAGGAGTTCCACAGTGGTACCAACGATAAATAATTAAATTATAATATTATATTAATAAATAAATAAATGAATAAATAAATAAATAAACTACACCGAGACGGAATGTTCCATAGACCTTAATCTATAGAGGACATTCTGTATCGGTAAACGTTTTGCAGTGCGAACGCCAACGTTTGAAACGTCGAGAAGGTAGAAATTCGTGAGCTCTTGGTTTGGTGAAGTATGTTGTGTAACCTTGGTATAAGTCATACGAAGTCGGGATAAGTCATTTTATAAATATGAATAGTGATAGCGATTAGGCATAAGTTTAAGCAAAATTCGACCACGATTCTGGTTACTAGAACTAAACGGGGCAAACGCTGTATCATGACATTCGAAATGTTTGCAAACTTTTGCAGCTTCGTTTAGCAAACTGACCGTCAGAATTTCTGCGTTATCAAACTTTACAACGTCTTCCGCCACAGAACTTCCTTTGTGCTTTATACTAAATATGAGCATGAATGTAGGTCCAGTGGTCACTTTTATCAGTTTTATCGCATGCGAGAATTAGTCGTATGATTTCAAGAATCTGGATGTTACCGAATTACACGACGTATGCGTAATATATATAACACAAATCGCCGTGACCGCACCACCCAACTCCGGTCGAATGGACATGATCCGTTTATTATTTAGTATAATATGATATGATTATAATATTATAATATTATGATTTACAATATTATATCTATCTCAGTGATAAACAATATTCTTTATTATCGGCAATCAGCTTTTCAAGTATTACAAAACATGATAATATTTATATATATTTAATAATAAATAATATTACTATATTATTATAGTATTATTAAATATGATATTAATTTATTATAATATCTGTATTCAAATTATACAATTCAATAGGATAATAAAGTCATATAGGTTAAATAGGTAGGTAGGTAAGTAGGATTACAATTGAAAATGATTTTTTGTTTGATATGAAGGATGGCGATTTACTTAAAATCCATTTCAATACTTAAGTAAGATACAATTGATATTAAAGAAATATGAGGTTAAAATAAAATAGATGACCTTGCAGTCATCACAAGTAGTGGTATTTGTTTAATTGTTCATTTCACAGAAATTCTATTCAAGAATATTTTTATTGTTGATGGTATCTACTTTACTTATTAAAATTTTTTTTTATTTGCATTATACCGCTTTACAATATTTCTACAGATAATATAAATCCTGACATAAAATATGAATCAATGTTATTATTTGTTATTAGTTAAAATTCCAAGGTTATTACCAATATTGTTTTATTCAAATTACAAAAAATTATTTATAAAAACATCAAACTTAAAATGAAAGATCAACTAACTAGCTATAAGTATCAAATAAAACTGTTTGTATGTACCAACAAGAGCTTACAAATCTCAACTTAATGGACACACTCGAAGAAATTCTCAGACCAAACCCCGATCACAATATGAAAATTATAACCTTCTCAAAAATAACCAACCTTACAGATAATATATAATTGTAATTGTAACTGTTAAGATAATGTAAAGATAATGTAAACTTCACAAAAATGATAAAAACTGTAGTTAAAATTTAAGAGATTTACTAATGGACTTTACTGGTCTGTTATATTATATAATGATCAATAAAAAAAAAAAACTATGATGATCAATGTATAACAATTTAAAAATTTAAATTATAAATTAAATAATAAGAGACTAATACATCCAAACTATACTATTGTAGTATTAGAAGTATTTACTTTTTTTTTTGAGTGAAACCCAGCAATAATGCTGATGATGATTAATATTTTATCATTTACCTATGCATTATCTTAAATATTTTATTAAATATTAATATTATTATATAAATGCAAACTTATATTGGAATAAGATAAGTAAGAATAAAGTGGTAAACATTTTCTAATTTTATCCAAGAGGTATACTAAATTTAAAAAATAACTCCTTACTGAAGAGAAAAAATAAGGTCATACATTGAATAACAACAATTAATAAGTATAATTGAAAATAATATATAATATAGTTGATAACTATACCCATGTCTAGCCTGCAAGTATTTATTTAATAATAAATTGTACACAATAATAAAATATAATATACTATTTATGGGTTAATAGGATGTTTACTATAGGTATAATTTTGTGCGGTCAATGTAAAGTTCTTAATTCATAAAAGTAAATTTTTCACTTTAGGTACCTACCTTTATTTATGTTTTTACATTTTGTGATAACGAAATAGCCAAGGGTCGGTGAAATTATAGATTTCTCCAGCTGAATAGTTGCCCTAGTCCGCCTCTGTATACCATCATTGATCTCATGTTATTAGGTATTTATATCCATCAAATTAAGAAAAGAAATAACCAGAAAATAAAGAAAAGCTATTTTACCCAATTTATACGTTGAATCGATAATAATAAATTTATATTTTATATTATTTATATACTATATTATCTATTTTATTTTAATGATATTAACAACAACAAAAATTCATGCATACATACAACAACTTAAATTTATAATACTTTATTAAACCTTACCTTATTCGGTTTCAAAGTTTAATTTAGTAAATGGAAAGTGTAAGAAATTGCATCTATTATAGATGATACATTTTTATTTTAAATTTGAGTGAAAATTATGTGTCACAGCTCATATATTTAGTTATTCTTAGCCTTGGAATTTTTAATTACGGACTGTATTTTCAGAACTCTAATTTTGACACCATCATTGAATCAATATAAGTTCATTAAGTATTAAGTACCACTATAGTATAAAATAGGTTTTCATTTATAGAATTTGTATGTCATCATACCTACTTAGCAAATATTAATTGTAAATACAATTGTGCAGGATCTATAACTGGTTATTTATCATGTCAGAATTAAAGACTTTAACATTAAGTTTGAGTAGGTACATATGGATGATTCACATTTTCTACAAGGAATACAGTTTAAAGAGTAATTTTAAAACACGGTTACTAAATTACAATAAAGCAATTTATATAATTTCATGAACAAACACAGTCATAAATTTAAATTACTAAAAACTAGTCACAAAATATTTGATTAAAAAGTATTAATTAGATATTTAGGTGCATACAATCATAAGATATATTAAATAAAATATATATTTATGTAAAAATAATAAATAAAATGTATATTTATGTAAAAATAATAAATATAGATATCAATTAGTTATTACTCAGCTACATTATGTACCTAATTATAATTATGTTATAAAATAGTTAATCTCAATAAAAATAATATAAACATAAACGCATAGGTATTACATATTATATTTAAAATATAAGCCATAAAAAGAATGCCTTTAATTTTTTTTAAATGTTTTTGGAATATCAATTTTCCATTTGATAATTTATGAAGTTATGTTTTTCAAGAATTTATTACTGTTTAATATTAACAATAAATATATATTGTAATTTATGATTATTATTTTGGGGAAATTAACATTTGATGGGTATTTTAATATGTTATACTGCATATTTTATCTTACTAAAAAATAATTTTAATTTAACCCACAACCTTATACCTATATAAAAATATAATGATATGTGACTACAAAATATATTTTACTTTAGTAATAGTAATTACAAAAAATAAAATTTAAAAAACAGTACCACAAATGGATGTTGCTTATTTATCAAGTGAATAATAGTATCGTAAACAATAGTAAAACTTAATGATATTTGCATAATATTTTATACTTAAAATATATTAAGTAGGTATAAAAAAAAAATACTTATTAGATTTTTTCTGAATCAATCTTGTGTATTTTAATTATTTACCACAGTTCCCATAAATTGAGGATCATGGTATTTTATTTGAAGTCGCTGGTTAATTGTTAAATCTTTGCCGATCTTAACGTTTTGCCAACGTTTAAAATAACAAAGTTTAGTTTTTTGTTTCAAAATCATCTGGGCATCATCAGGTAATTTAAATTTCAAAAGAATGGGACGATTCTTTCCACGATAATGACCAAACCGTATGACCTCTGGGAACTCGTTATTAAATCCCATGTCCGACAATAATTCAGATATTACAGCATTTAGCATTTCTGGTGTCTCATCCATCGAATCAGGAATATTGAAAAATAACAAATTCTTAGATCTTTGATAATGTTTATGGACATCAGTAGCAATGTTAAATCTATCTTGGAGTTGGTGGTTCAATGATTGATGAATATCAAAGATTGAATCTCTTAGCACTGCAATTTCATCAGCCATAGTATCTTCCTCCGTTTTAATTTCAGCTAATTCAGTGTTGAATTGATGTAACGTATCATTAAATTTCTCATAGGTTGCATTTAGCGAAGCAACTTTTAATTGAAGGTCTTGTAAAATCTTACAATGGACTCTCGAACCTTCCTGCGCAGATTTCGAGAAGCTCGAGATACTCGGTAAATTGTTGTACATATATTCAGACTCACGATTAGCTTGAACGTAATGTTCGTTTCTCTCCAGATAAGATGTCCTGATCCTAAATCTATTTTGATCCATATCGACTATTATTTGGTCCTCGTGCGGTATATGCCTATGTTATATGGTCCAATTCTTGAGAAAGAAAATGTGCATAGGATCAACCGCGATCAATAGTGGAATATTAATCCTATCCGCCTTATATTATGCGCACGAAAATAGTCAGCACCTACCTATTCACGCTACGAATCGAACAAATGTAATTATATTCGAAACTACTGTAATACCGAAGTGACGCACTACGCGGTGAACACGACAGTGATGTGCTACTGCCTACTAGTATTAAATATTATAGGTATATGTAGGTGGGTACCTCTTATCGTTCTATGAGAAACTCCGACAAATTCCATTAGTACAAATCGTTTCCCGAGTCAGCCTATAATATCTACATTACAGCTTAAAGAGAAATACTTACGTCTGTATCGAAGAATGCCATTT